CAAGAGGCAGCCCAGGGCCCAGCGCTTCAGCGGGGCCCAGGCGCCGGGGGCGGCCGCCCACCGCGCCCCGAGCAGCGCCAGCAGCGCCAGCAGCGCCAGCAGCCCCGGCATGGCGGCGCGGAGCGGGGCGCGGAGCGGGGCGCGCTGGCGGAGCGGAGCGGGGAGCGGAGCGGGGCGCGGAGCGGGGCGCGCTGGCGGAGCGGAGCGGGGAGCGGAGCGGAGCGGGGCGCGGAGCGGAGCGGGGCGCGGAGGGAGGCGCGGAACGGAGCGGGGCGCGGAGCGGAGGGAGGCGCGGAGCGGTGCGCAGGGAGGCGCGGAGCGGTGCGCAGGGAGGCGCGGAGCGGTGCGCTGGCTCCCGCCACCGCCAAACCCCGCCTGGGGGCCGCTCCCCGCCGTGGCCCGGGGGCGATCGCGGTCATTTCCGCGAAGGGCTCGTCCCGGCTGTCTGCGAACAGAGGTCACCCTGGGAAGTTGCATTTGTTCTTTTTATTGTTTTTTATTAAAAAAAAAAAAAAAGTTACAAATTTTTCTCCCGAGAAACGTGATCTCCGCGGGCGTTTCGCCCAGCTGCATGGAAGAACTCAAGGGGAAGTCGAGGCAGTTCCCCCAGATGGGCACCGCCAAGTTTCTAGGAAATCCTCCGGGTTAAGTGTTGTGGTGCAGGAGCGGTGGGTTTGGGGTGTCCCCCCTGGGGTGACGGGGGGGTACAAGGGAAATACCGGCAGCTCTTCCCCGAGATTGAAGGTTGTGGATGTGCCCAGCTCTGTGACTGAGATCCCAGTTCGGCCCCTGGTGTAGTGGGCTGGCGGCGTGAGTGGGTCCGTCACTTGCTGCCGCTGCCAGCTCCAACCCATGGGCAGGGAAAAGGCTCGGCAGCCCAGTTCATCCAAGGCACAAACAAAACAAAACCAAACCAAAAAATCACAGCGGGCATCCCTTCAGCGTCTCTTGTTGGTACCACTTCTAGAAGCTGCACTTTTGAAGGCTTTTGGCTGGCTGCACAATAGAGCTTTTTATTCCTTTTGCAAGTAGCAAGCATTTAGTCTCATTTCCTTACACTAAAATAAACCCAACCTCTCAGGGGTGGTTGAAGTGCAGCTCATCTTACTTTGGAGAACGATGGGGCTCTCAGAAGCTGTGCTTTCTTCTGTGTTCAGACTATTTTTACTCCCTGTTAGCTCTACAAACTTCTCAGCGGACTGTTACCTGAAAAAGAATGTACTGAACGTTTTTATGCCTTGTCTCAGTTGTCCCTCAATTTGGTTTTACAACCATCTCTGCTGTGGTTTGTGTTTAACGGATCAGTGTGTATCATTCTTTCGATTTTCTTCTCTGAATGCAACTTGGTTTTAATAACCTCCTTAGCTCTGCTGCTTCTTTTTGCCCTTTATCTAGTCTTTTCTGATACTGATGTGCACTTATATGCCTCCATGATCATGTTTCTATATATCCTTCAAAAGCTTTTAGTGACTTACATGTTCCTTCTACCTTATTAAAAAGCTTCCTTATTTTGACACAGTTCCCCTTTTCTGAGACTGGGCACAACTGCTCTGTATTGCTTTATTGCTATGCATGGACCACATCAAACCAGAAGTAGAAGGGCAGGAACTAAAAAGAAGGCACCAGAGATTAAGACAATGAGGTTCAGAAATTTATTTCTGTAATTTGCTATTGCTTCAGTTAATATTCAAGGGGTATGTCTTAAAGTTAACCACACAGAGTAGGCAGAGAGCCAGAGAGATAATAAGGTTATTTTCTTGCTTCAGATTGTGTCGTGGAGGGACAGAAAATGGTCTAAAAATAGGAGATGTGTCACAATGTTATCACCCTGCACCTGCAGCACAGCAGATATGGTTCTGTCCAGAGAAAGACTGCAAGGGGAATGGATTATGAAAAACAGCTTTTTTTTTTAGTTAAAATTTAAACACAGTATTGACACAAAGCATTATTCAATGGGGAAAGATCCACACAAATGACAAACCTTTGGGACTTTACAAACATGCACATAATTAAACCCTCAGCAGCTATAGTCTGCTTGAGATGTAAGGGCCTATGGCAGATGACATATTCTTGTAAACTCTTCCTTTTCTTTTCCTAATGCAACCCACGAGCAACTTTACTGGCCTTTGCCAGACTGTTGGAGTCATACAAAACATTTGAATTTCAGTATTTGCTTTTCTGTGAGGAGGATAAATGGGACATGTATATTTCATATGTTTCTCTGCTATGTGAAGTATTCAAAAACTCCCGTAGCCCGAACAACACATCGGTGAAGGTGTTGTGGCTGTCTCTGTGGAATCTGTAATGGGGATAAGCTCCGTTCCTTCCTACGAGGACAGGAAGCACGGAAACAATATGCTTCATGCACCATTATGTTTCAACATTTCTTAGGTAATTTGTTTGAGGGCTTGAAGTTATCTCTGGCAAACAATTTATCTTGGCAATATTGTCTGCTGTGGAAATGGGTTCCAAACCAGCAGGACTCACAGAAGAACCAAAGTCCTGGCATGTTTGGTAATGGTTTTAGCGTGTCAAAAGCAACACTGTGTATTAAAACAAGCCTAAGATCTGCTCCACATGCTTAGCAAAAATGTGGGGAGGAAAATATTCAACTGATTTGTTTGGTTTTATGTTCAGGAGAAAATGAGGAACCTGCAACTGATGCAGGGCACTGAAAATGCAGATAACAAGGCAAGATGAGTTTAAGAATTTCTGGTTAGAATAAATTTGCTAACTTGCTCTTAAGCATCTGCAATATTGATCATTAAACTTCTACTTGCACAGTGAACATTTTAAACAGCACTGCCTTTTGAAAATCTAGCTGCCTGGCAGAGGAAATTGGTATGTTAGGACTATATTCCAACAAAAGGAAAATAATTTGGCACCCTCAGAAATAAAGGGCCAGCAAAATCAGATTAAATGTAGCTCTGAGATCCAAACTGGTTCTCAAGATCTTTGCACTGCAGTGAGCACTGACTGTGTTTGCTGTACAAAGCTATCCAGTCTCTCCAGAAGTGTTTGAGCAGAAATCAAAGCCAAGAGAGAAAAAAAAAAAAAAAAAATGCACCATCGCCTCTCTTCCTCAGAGCTGCAAATGAAACTGGATTTTCAGAACTACATCCAGAAATAATGGCTACACTCACATCTGTAGTATGAGACCCAGACGTGTCTGTACTTCAAGAAAGCTCAGATCTGGGAGAGAATTTCCTGGTTTCAGTCTATATTTAGGTTATATATCATTATATGGGATGTTTCTTTGAAAAAATTGTCAAGTAACTGCTTTGTCTCTTCACCTTTTCTCCCTACATTTGCATCTGGAGATACTGTTTGCCAGTGTCATATGGTCAGTATGACTAACATTATTCAGGTTGCCCTGGGGCTGCAGAAATACACGATGCACCATCCAGTGGACAAACACACTAGTTACACTGTGGTGGCAAGTTATTAAACATCAGTTCCTCCGAAACTGATTGTAAAACTTCCACCGCATTCGAAGCTCTCGCTGATGAAGCATGTGTGGGAACTGTTAAAGTGTACAACCTCCTGGGTGCAACAACACGCAGAGTCCTGTCTAGTTGATACTACAAAAAAACCCCAGCACAGTACCTTTTTGGTAACTTCTGGGTAACTGTCCTACCTCGGCCATCCTGAGATAAAAGCACAAGTGTTTCAGTTTTCCCAAGGGTTAAGCTCATTGTAATCGTCACTGTGCCCCCATAAGTATGTACTCAAGAAAAAATGCTTTTCTTTGTTTTTATTCTGGGTTAAATGACAAATTAGTTGCATTAAGGGAAAACACGGAAGGAGAAGAAAGTTTCAGAGAAAGATCAGCTCGTACGGTTTGGTGTTAATGGGTGTTTACATACTTTCATTTGAATAACGGAGACATCGGCACTGACTAATTTTAGTACGTAAAACCCAGCTGTTGGGGAATAGAAGAGTACACACAAACACCAGCTTTTCTGAAGTCCTTCATATTTCAGCACAGAAGGAAAAAAAGTAGAAACACACATAGACGTGTGGGCAGCTGTATTTTATTGTACTGCTCAGCATACACAAACCTTTATGCACTTACTGCCAATGTCCCACTAGATGGTGGTCATGCTACAAGAAAAAAAAAAAAAAACCAAAACACGATGCAGCAGCGTGCACAATTTGTCGTAATCTGTTGGTCACGCTTCAGCTCTTTGATCTTTGTGTGTTTTAAATGTATCCTGAGCTCACACACCTCAAGGTTTACTATTTTGCATCTAATTTTTCAAGCTACTGGATTTTTCCTAATACGTTGTGGAAAATTCTGAATGAGTGCCATACAGTAGTATTTCTATATAAAACAAATCGTCTAATTTAACTACTGATGTCGAAGCCTGGATTGACCAAATGTAGCAACCAGCCACAGAACAGGCTCTCAAGTGCCACATCACCTTCCTGAGCCTCTGTGAGGTAATGGGGGCCTGTGATGAAAAAGCACCATTGAAAACACGTGTAGACATAAAGCAAAAGCCCTTCATGGAAGAACTGAAGTTTCAGTGAACCCACCGGATCCACCTTCAGTTCTGGCAGGTGCCGGCAGACGCGCGCCTGCCGGCGAAAGCTCCGAAGGGCCGGGGGAGGAGAAACACCACGGCTTTTGGCGGGCTGGGGGGCCTGTCAGCAGGCCCCGCGCTCCTCACTCTGCGAGGTTATTACCTCGGAAACCTACCAATCCGATTACCAACCCCGAATGGCGACTCTTTGATAAACGAGAGGAGTTGGGGGGGGAGGAAAAAAGCCACCTCGCTGCAGCCGCCGAGAACCCGCTCCCCCAGGCGGCGCGCGCATGCGCGCCCCTCAGCAGAGCAGCCGGCGCCAAGGACGTCCCGCCGGGGTTGCGCATGCGCACGGCGGGCGCTGCCCTCCCCGTCCGTGAGGCGCCTGCGCAGCGCGCTCAGTCCCCCGCCCCCCGCCCCTCCCCGCGGCGCCTGCGCAGTGCGGGGCTGTGGGGGCTTCCGCCGCCTGTGGCTCTGCCCTTCCCGCTTCCGGCCGTCCGCGGCTCCGCGGAGCGCCCGGCGACGGGCACGGTGGCGGCGGCGGCGGTGGCGACGGTCCAGCGGCGGGGGGCTCGCCCCACCGCGCCGCCGGCACGGCGCCAGCCGCAGCTCGGAGGGCAGCGGGGCCGCCTCCGCTGAGGTAAATCCCCTCCCCGCGCCGGTTCCCCTCAGGGCGCCCGCCGCCGCCTTCCCCCCCGCCCCTACCCGGGTTCGGCCGCCGCGGGCTTTCCTTGCGCTCCCTCCGGCCTTCGCGGGGGCCCGGCGGCCCGGTGAAGCCCCGGCGAAGGAGGAGCGGGGGAAGGTGAGCGGGGATCAGCCTCCTCTCGTGGGGCAGGTCGGGCTGGGCGCCCCCTCACTCTCCGTCCTTGCCGGTGTTCGGTGTCAGTTCTTAACGGGGTGCTTCTAGGTGTTGGCTGTACTCCTGCCTCTTTTCGGGTTATTTTTAAATAAAATAAATAAATAAAAATGTTCTGTCAGCAGCCCTGGGAGCAAGTGCACGGAAGTGTCCCCGAGTCCCAGCGCAGGTGTGTTGTAGAGCCTCAGCTGCCGCCGTGGGAAGCTGAAGGGGAAGGGAACGGCAGCCACTTGACACACCGCGCTTTCCAGTAATGTCCTAGCACTTGCTCTAGGGAGTTTTTCTGATTTATGTGGTGCTAGTTTTCCTTATTTCCAGGAGGGAAGAACAGCACTTACAGGAAGTGGGAATGCAAATAGTTCACACTCCGAAAAATGAGAGGGTTGATTTGTACAGCACAGCACATATGTGATCTGTGCTGTAAAAAAAGAATTGGGAAATCAGTGGCTATTTTCTATACTATATATACAGTTGTATAATGGTATCAGGATGCTGAATTACAGTGATGTAACTGTTTGCTTTGCTGAAGATGTAATTAGGTTGAAGTCAATGTGACTTCACATTAACAGACTTAAATTAGATCTTTTGAAGTGGATGCTCTCTGACTTTGAAAATTTACAGATAAAATAGATCTGTACTGATTCATTAGGAGATTAAATCAATGTAAAACTTTAGTGGTTTTAGATTAGGGTTAAATAGCTGAAAGCTCTTTGTGGCTAGAAGAAATTGATAATACTTTTCATCTCTCAAACTTTCTTGGTTTTGTTATAATGTGGTATATTTTATATCATATATGTCTGATGGATTTCATTTTTATGCCTTTTATGAAGACCTAGAACTTCTAATGAAGTAAATTGATAGAATTCAGCAGCAGTTGATAGGCTGAAGATGAGGAATATAGAGGAAATGTTGGTCTCTATATGTGTCTGATATGAGGAACCATTGAAGCACATTCTTTAACACTCCTTTAATCGATATTGAAAATTTCTAGTGAAAATAGTTAAGCTTTGATCTATAACATTACTTTTTGGAACCTGGAAGAAAGAATCACATGTGGATATGGGTAACTGACAGAAAAATTTGCTTGCCAGCCTGATACCACAGTGCAACCAGTAAATGTGATACCAAAGCTATCATCAGTTGAGTGTGAGGATATAGAGTATATTCATGAATGCAAAAATTAGAATTAAAAAAATGAAACCAGAATGTGGTTCATCCAAATACTGTTGGCAAAGGAGTAAAACTTTTAGTTTCCACATAACGATACCGATATTGGTTTAAGCAGCTAGCTTTCTGGAGCCTAATCTGAGCTTGAGTTTGTGGCCCTCTTCCAGAAGAAGTAAGGTACAAAGCCCAGCCATACAATTTATTCATGTCCTTCTCTCAAGTAAAGATTGTTCTTTAATCCAGAAGGGTCTGTCCTTGCAGTTGTAGTTTAGTGAACACTTCATGTATTGGATAGTATGTATCTTTGCTGGGTACCAAAGTCTTATGAAATTTATTTTCTTTGACTTCCACATCTGTGGGGGACAAAAAATGTTATCAAAAAGATACCTTGCTGAACATCTTGGATGTTATTTTCATGCTTATGGAAAAGTATCTTGTACCAAAGTATTTTGGTATCACAAATTTATTGGATTTATTGCTGATAGCAAAGCTCTTTAATACTTTTTATAAATGTGTGTTCTGAAGACATGCATAATTTTTTTTCTTACATTTTGCATAACTTGTTTTACTCTGAATTTTTATTGCTGGGTTTTGAGGATGTTTAGAAAGATGCTATGGGCATAAAGACATAAGTAACTAGATGACCAGCTTCACTGTAAGACATCCATACTTATGCTTAAGTACTTCTTCTGTATACCCCTTTTCTGAGATTATTTAGAATAAGCATATCCTCTTTTGAAAGCTGAAAAGAAACAATTCCAGTGTTTTCTTATCACCTGACATTTGCTATATCGTAAGAGACTGGTGTAAAGAGAATCATCACAATAGCTTGCAACTTGTCTGTGTTAAATCTGTACTTCTTGAAGATTCTCTTGAACGTGTTGCCAGGTGTTTGCGTATAAGCAGCGTCACATTAGTTAGGTGTTTCCACTGTGAAATGTCACTGTGTGCCTGGAGTAGAGCAGATACAGGTCAGTACAAAGAAGGACTAGAAGGCATAAACAGGAAATTCGTGAGATAAACATGGCACAAAATATATTAAGTTAGAACAAAAGCAACAAGGATTTAGAGAGATGCTGAGCTTTGCCACTGAGGGTATGGGATAGTTTTGGGGGTAAGTTTGGGGTTGTGTCATGGGTTGCCATCACAAGCTAGTTCATCTGCTCTTTTCCAGACTTGTGTGCACTGTTACATGTGTCCCAGATTCTTGAAGTTGGGCATATCTCTTTGTAATTACAGATAGCAAAAGTTGAGTCTGACAGGGCTAAATTGGGATTGTAGTTGTTGGGCTGGTTCTTCTGAATACTCGCTACTCTTGCCGTTCTTACACGCTGTCGTTGCTGAGAGAGGGGAGCCCTGAAGCCCTAGCAGAGGGCTGCTTGTACAGAGCTGGCCTGTTGCTGGGGTTGAGCTAGAGGGTTTTCAGTGCAGTTGTGGGTTGAGGTAGTTACTGGAGTAGCTTTGTTTGCTCTGAGGTTGTTTGCTAGACCAGTCACTGAGAAGTTGAAACAAGCCACAGTTTACTTATTAAATGGCTTTGCAGTTTGGATTGCATGTATCTGTAATAAAAAGTAGGTTATTCACCTAAATTAGGCGTGATTATGGCTAGACATTATCTGATGGATATTTATCTGTCACAATGAATGGTCCAAATTGCCATGGAATTAGATTCAGTAGTAGGTGTGCCCATTTGATTTACTTAAAATTTTTGCAGTCATTGAAGTTAATGTTTACACTGTAACCTTTTAATGAGACTACAGTTCTGTGATTTTGATTTGCCATCAATGCTGTGCTTTCTAGGTAGGATTTAAATCTGTCGCATGTAAGAGCTGCAGGATTATTATTCTAGTGTGCAATATCTGTTACTGTCCCTACAACTATTCATTACACAATCAGACATTTTGAAATAAAAGCATTCTCTTTACTGTGTTGTAACTGAAAGATGAGGAATCTCAGGAATTGTCCATTGTATAGCCCGAAGAAAAAAATGACCAAAAAAGATTTAAGCTTTGACAGCTAATGTATATCTAGCCTGTATATAAATTCTTATTTTTATATCCGTTTAAAAAAAAAGTTAGATTTTTTTTTTCCCCCACAACAATGTTTTTCCTTTCTTCCTCTAAAAATAGCAAGAAAAAGGATTGCGCTTAATCCTGAAGTGCCCCCCCCCTTTTTTTTTTTTTTTTTTTAATTCACAGTGCAGGGGCCTTATGGTACAATAGTTGTGTTGCATCTTTCAATCTCCTAATGCCCTTGGTAACCTTCTTCCAGTCAACTTGGAGAAGGGAGATTTGCTGTTGCAGTGGATCTTCTTTAGCACCATTAGAAAACTAAAAACATCTTAGTCATTTTACAAGTCCATCTTTCCAGTGATCATGAGTTTGTGATGGAACTTCTTCAGAAGTTTTTTTTTTTTTATTCCAACAATATATCTGGATTTTGGGCCAGCATTTCATTAACAGTGAGGCACAGGTCAGATGAGACATTCTCAACCTTATAATTTAAAATAATGCCCAAGAGAAAAGCATCAGATTAAGTTTAATACAATCACCTGTGCAAACAGATGAAATTTTGCATGAAACATGGAATAATTTAGTTTTATCTTCCAATGCTAAAGATTTTTAAACAGTGATTAAAAACTGTTGCTTGGCATATTGGATTTTAAAGTATCATGCTTTGTCCTGGAGGTTTGTTCTTTAAGTATACAACAAAAGCTCAATGTAAATTTGGTTAGGACAGGCATTGAAGCAAATAAATTAATAGTCTGGAGGAAAGCTGTAGCCATCTCAGTGGGGATGCTTAGCTCTTCATGAAGTCTAAGTGCTTCAAACATTGATCCGCTTCCCCTTGAAGGGGACCAAGGTAGAGGGTAATGGTGTAGGCAGCTGGAGAGGAGAATGGCACACAGGAGCAGGGGAAGGAGAAAGCACGTAAGAATGCCTAAACCTATTATTCTCGCAAAAGCTGAACTGTGGTGTCACTTCCACTTAAACCAATAACTGATGAGGCTCCGATAAACCCTGAAATTTTGCACAGAATTGCATTTAGGATTAGCGAACTGGCTGAACAAATCATATCCTTGTCTTGTCAATGAATTCTCTGTTAACAATTTTGGATGATTACTCTGACTTTAATATTTCACCTGCAGAGGCTTAGTGTGTCGTCTGCTATTGCTTGTCATCTTCGACACAGAGAAGGGGTGGGTGACACTGCAAATTAAAGTGACACACACTAAACCCATCTTCTTGAGTGTTTCTACTTGGATTCCACAAAATGCCATGTCAATGACAACTTAATGCTTGGGGATTTCACAATATTGTGAAACTTGTTTAACAAAAGTATAAAAGCATATTCATAAAGCAAACCAGAAAGCAATCAGTAGCTTCATGCAGTTATATGTGCATAATAAGCATTTGCGTTACCTTTTAGGCATGCAATAGAGTATATGAGTTTGTTTAAATAAGACAAGAGGCTTCTCATTTTCAGGGGAAGTCTGCATTGGTATAATTACCCTTGATTCAGGAAAATTTGAAAATATATACTGAAGAACTTCATTGTTAAATTTCAGAATCCTTACATTACTCTCAATATATTAATTTAAATTAACCTACCAATTAAAAGAGTGAAGCTTCCATGTCACAAAGCTTATTTTAAATACTAGAAAAATAAACCAACTGAAGAAATAAGCCTAGGTACTTCTTTAGCCAACTTTAAATGGACACAAATTTGAAATTCCTACTCCAAGCTAGTCATTTTATTCTGTACTGTGTAAAACAAAGCAAGAAACTCTTCCTTGATCACATATTGGGGCTTTAATTGCCAGACAGATGTTATAGTTTGCAGCAGTAGGATTGGGTGAGAGAACAGCAATGGCAGTCGATGTTGAGCAGAACAGGGGTCCAGACTTAATTTGCCAGAAACCAGTGCAGCAGCGCTCTCTGTGCAGCATGCATGTGCTCACTAATGTTTCCAGTCAGAAATTCAGGCCCACACCTCTTCTGTTCTCTCCTCCAAACAGACATCTAACTGAAGGTTTTTGTGCTGCAGTCCTGCTCTAAATGCCATGTCATGATTTCCAAAAGTTAACTGCTAAAATTTTCAAGCTTTGAAGTACCTGGATTTCTAAATAAAATAAGTGCCTCCTCTTCTTCTTTCATTATGAAAAAGGAAATCATCTACACTTTATAACTACTGATGCTTTCTTACTTTGCACAATCTGTGTTGGATTTCAGTATTATGTCCTTGTGAAAATGAAGGAATGTGATTCAAGATTGTGGAACATTTGTATTGTAAACTGAAGCATGATTGGAATGTCTTATGGTAGCATGTTAGTCCTTATACTGATTTGTATATCATAAGTCACATAGTAATTGCCTATATGGTGGAATTTTAGCAAGGAGAACTTTCTAAATGCATATTCCATTTGGCGTAATTATGGGCAGTTTTCTTTTATATACAGGTTCTGGAATGAGTAGCTGCTTTATTTTAAATTGGCCATAGTTTGGTCTAATAATTAGAGTTAATATGATCTTGTATCCTCTATTATCTAACAGTTATAAAAATAGCAGTAGTAATGCATGCTTTTGTTATTCATAACCTGCTACCAAAAACCTTGCTGTAAACTCTGCAGTCAAATAAGATTATTTTTTGTATACTTTGTAGCTCTTAGTCATACAGGAGTGACAGACAGGAAAAAGTAGTAGGTCTTTGGATACATTATCCAACTCATTTTAGAAGCAATGAACAAGACAGTTATAATGTTACTTGAAACACTCTTTAGAGTTTTTTAGTTCTCTCTTTGATAGCTTAATCTAGAGGTTTTTTTCCTCTTAATCAGAAGCTTGTTTGCTGTAAGTACATGCAGCATATTTCAAAGTACTGCCATCCATATATTTTATTTGTGCTTAACACTATTTTCTTGATGAAGCAAGAGTGCTTTCCTAATCAGTTTGTTGCTGATGTCTTTTCAGATTACATCAGATATGACTATGTGAATAGCATAGAGTAGCCCAAAGGAAAAACATGATGTCAGAATAACATACAAAACACTTGTGAGGTATGTGGGTTTTTTTGTTGTGCTAAAAATTTTCTTGGTTGTCTTTAACACAGTTAAACAAAAGGAATGCAGTAATTTTATGCCATTTCATTTGTATGCTAAAGGAGTTTGCAGAGTTGATCTAAAATTCAGGTTTGTCATGACATACACAAATAACGATTTATTTGTGTTCAGAATCTTGAGGTCTGTTCTGATTTAAGGCAACTTGTTGATTTGAGCAGCTGAAAACTTGCCCTGATTGAAAAATAGTTGTGTATTTCTTCTGAGATATTGCACCTTAGATGGAAGGAATTCTAAGTTTGTGTTCTATAGGGAGCTTCAGAATTGGGAGGTTGGTTTTGATTCATTGATGCCTTGTAGGCGCCTCAAAATATCTGTGAAGCAGGAGGTCTTGAAGGAGTGGGGTTTCTAAATAGTCCTTTGATGAAGGAAAAAAAAAAAACAAAACAGAAATTTTGTTTGAAAAAATTTTCCAAATTACTTATGTATTGACTTTTTTAAACAAAAAGATAAAATGGGAGAAAAAAATGAATACTAAAAAAATAGGAAAAGCTAGCATTTCTGCTATTGTGAATTTGGTTGAATTTGTCTGAAGTTTGGGTTAACAAAAGCAGAATTTGCCAGTGAAAAAATATTTTGACAAAATAACAGCATGTGAATGGGCTGTATTTGACTGTTTCTGTAGTACTGCCAGTTACCTCTTTAGAAGTTTGGCTCTTTAGAGCATTTGTTGGGCATTTTGTGTCTGATACCTTTGTTCAGTTGTCATCTCTTCATATACTTCAAGTTGTAATAAGTTTATTGTACATACTTTTTTGTGGGTACTTTTTTTTTGAGAGAGGAAAAGTTAGACAATAACATTTCTTATCAGTTGTATATGCCCTTTTTTGATTAAATAGCTGATTTGCCTAGTTATCTTCATGTTCCAGCTGCTAATTATATAGGCTTCATGAAACTTGTAAAAGAAAATTCAAGTCTTGACCACAAGGGGTGAGTGATGTCCCAAAGTGCTATTGAAATTAATTGGCATAGATTGTAATTTTAACTGTAAAAATTTAGAAAGATTAGGATAACTTAAAGTGGCTGAAAAGAGAGCCTTATCTAGGTTAAGGTAAACCTGAATTGCTTTTAAGGGAGGTGAAGTTTATTCTTTTCTAAGGTATTTTTCTAGTGTGTGACTACCTTAATCCATGGCTTAGTAAACACATTCTGGTAAGAGAGGGGACTTTTGTATTTTTTTTTTTTTTTTTAAAAAAAAAGGGAAACAAAACCCAAAACCAAAACACACCAAACCAAAAAACCCCACTGTGTGGACAGAAATCACAGTGTAACTAGTAGAAGCTGTAACATTGCATTGTTAGTGACTAGATGCAAGCACCAGAGCTTTATTTCAGTTTGTTGTTTTACAACCAGAGAACGTAGCTCCTGTGTCCTGTGAGTGTATCAGGTGGCTATTTTAACTGTTGCTCTGGGATATCTACACTGCAATCTGCATATACTTGTTTTCAATTCTAATCTCTTGGATTACTCCTACCTAGTTCTAGCATTAAGGCTTAAGGATCAAAAAGATTTACTGCACAGGATATGTTTTTTCTGATTCCTGATAGGTAGGACTAAGAGTTTTTAAAGGTTTAGAAATACATGGTTTCATCTGAAAACTATCCCTGTGAATCTCTGTACCAGGCAAATGGTCATGTTGACCATTTTAGACTTAACAAAGTGATGCGAATATTCAAGGTCTTGGAATGTAAGTTAAAGTGCCATAATTCCTACCAGTCATAGGCTACCATTAATAAGGGGGAAAAAATGGAGACTTCTGCATGGCTGTCACCAATCAATATAAAAGATTTCAAGTTTCTCTCAGACATGGCCTTTAATAACACGAATCAATATGATTTTTAGAACATTTTATAGTTTTAAAGTAGCAGGCTATTCTTGATGCATAATGTTTAAGCTTTAATTTATCTCCTGTTTGTTGATAGCAGTTCAGTTCTGCCATTCTGTATCTTTGCTTGTTAGAGATGTCTGGAAAATAATTCTGTTTTCATGAAAACTATTAAGGTTTCAAGTCTTGGTTTTGTTCCATGTTGGAACAACAACAAAGCCCTAAAAGAGTATTCATGAAATTAATGTGTTCTTTGAAAATCTGATTCATGTAATCCATTGCCATGCTAATTTAACCACTGCCATTTGTTTCCTTTAAGTTTGGTCTGATCTGAGACCATCTTGTAAGTTATCCAATATATCTTTGTAACAGGTTTGTGGGTTTTTTCAACTCAATAGCACTTTTGTCAACAAATTTAGCTGCTTTCTAACTTACTGTGTTTTTTTATTGTGAACAATGTACTAGAACAGCTTTATTTCCATTCTGTTTTTCCCTTCTGCTCTTCCCTGGGTTGCTAGAGCACTATGAAAAGTCAACAGTCTGGTGCCATAATTTGCTGTTTTCTGTGACACATGAGCTGTAATTTAATGAGGACTTCGCCATTTTAGTTGGAGATAAGAGGTTGTATTTTTAACAAAAGAGGAAGAACAGTTTACAGGTGCAGCAAGATGAAAATGAAACCATTCTAAAGTCCCTTTGTCAAGCATTGAAGTTGCATGATTGTGGTGGGTTGACCCTGGCTGGACACCAGGTCCCACCAATGCTTCTCTATCACTCCCCTCCTCAGCTGGACAGGGGAGAGAAAATAAAACAAAAGGCTTATGGGTTGAGATAAGGGCCGGGAGAAATCATTCACAAATTACTGTCATGGGCAAACTAGACTCAACTTAGGGAAACTAGTTTAATTTGTTACTAATCAAATCAGAGTAGGATAATGAGAAATAAAATCTAAATCTTAAAACACCTTCCACCTACCCCTCCCTCCTTCGCGGGCTCAACTTCACTCCCAATTTTCTCTAGCTCCTCCCTGCCAGTGGCGCAGAGGGGATGGGGAATGGGAGCTGTGGTCAGTTCACTGCCCCGTTGTCTCTGCTGTTCCTCCCTTGTCAGGGGGAGGACTTCTCACACTCGAGAGGGTTTATTTTTTTTTCCACCTTAAATATATTATCCCAGAGGTGCTATCGCCATCACTGATGGGCTTGGCTTGGGCCAGTGGTGGGTCCATCCTGGAGCCAGCTGCATTGACTCCATCAGACATGGGGAAAGCTTCTGGCAGCTTCTCACAAAGCCATCCCTGCAGCCCCCCCAGCTACCAAAACCTTGCCATGCAACCCAATACAGTGATTTAAAAAAAAAAAAAAAAGTCACAGAATTATAAAACTGAGTAAATGGCTTAAAAAATTGTTGATGAAACTTTTTAAATTAGTATCTTTTGATTACAGGAATATTTAATCTTTATGTAATCACAGAATTCAGGTTTTGATCAAAAAAAAATGTCAGTAATTTATTTTGAACTTCAATACGTTTTATCCCACAGAAATATGAAAACAAGCGCCACCTGTATTTCCAGTTTCTTCATGCATAATAATGGGATCTTTGCTTCCTGCAGGGTAAGGCCAGAAAACCATGCAGTCATCAGGGCACAGATTCCGTGATGTTGAGCACCACCCGCTTCTTGCTGAAAATGACAGCTATGATTCCTCTTCCTCAGAGGCCGACATGGCAGAGAGGGTTTGGTTCATCCGAGATGGCTGTGGTATGGTCTGTGCTATAATGACATGGCTTCTGGTTGTCTATGCAGACTTCGTAGTGACTTTTGTCATGTTGCTGCCTTCCAAAGACTTTTGGTACTCTGTGATCAACGGTGTACTCTTTAACTGCTTGGCAGTACTAGCTTTGTCATCGCATCTGAGAACTATGCTAACTGATCCAGTAAGTATGCGATCGTTCCTTGACATCGGATTGTTCTCTCGTGTAGTTCATCGTCTGCAGAGAAATTTGAAGAAGTGGTATCAGTCTTTTCCTGCTAGGAAAAATAGTGCCAGATTCAAAACCCTCAAGGTGCAGGGATGATATCTGTACTTTTTGTGTTGTTCTGTTAATGAAACCATAAATAATACTTGACTTGAGGAACAGGCAGTATAAAATTAATTTATAAGGAAGAGGTAGGCTTGTGAGAAATAGTTTATCTGTAAAATATTAACCCAGGTTCTGAAGAGGCTAATAAAGCTTTAGTCTTTTCTTTCCCAGTTTTTTCTTACTTTTTTTTCATCAAATATATTTTCAAAACTTCATAAGAAGTTGTAGTTTCATCCTGTTGTATCATTTGAAATATGTCTTCCATTTATGACACATGAAAGAACTTTTAAAGGTAGACATGCTGAAAAACCTCAGTCACATATTGGCATAAAGTAAGAACTGTTGTCCTGCATGTTTCATGCATTGTTGTGTTTAAGTATTTGGAATCAGTGGGAGGGGAAATTTAAGTTGAACCCACATTGGAACAGTGTAGGTGTAAGAGTTCTTGAAAGCACGCATTTCTTAGGATTTTTCAATTCAAGAGTTCGAGAGATTAAATTGTTTATATTGTACTAAAATATGTTATTTTTTTTTAGGGAGTAAATCTGGGGAGGGAGGGGTGAGGGGAAAACCACCTATTTTCTCCAGATTTTTGAGACGATAACAGTGTACATAGAAGTTATGGGAACGTTTGAAAAAACAGCAGGGTGTTGTAGTTAATGGTTTTCTAGGACTTTGATTTACTTCTGAGCCCACACCCACTGATGAAATGTTACAACTTCTACAGCCGGTGACAGCTAAGAAGGTTAATGGTTTAAGGATAGATTGCTTAAAAATATGTTCTCTTAAAACTGTGTGTTTTTCTAGCCCTATGTTGTTCTTTATGGATAAAACATGATAGAAATTGAGATGAATCACTACCTTTTTTTTCTCCACTCCTTTCCTGCTGACTCCCAGAATGGAAGACACAACTGTGTGATAGAAACCAAGATTGAAGGAAAAAAAGGAATGAACTGTCTCAAAACCTATGTGAATTAAATTTACTCTTACAACTATAAAAATAGATTTTTTCATTGAAAGGAATTTGTGACCTTCTGAGAATATGAAAGATGTTATTGAAATGGAGCATATTTTTATAATCAAAATGCTAAAAGCATGGTCTGAAGTTATCAACCTTAGTGGCAGATGAATAAGTGAATGTGAGATGTGTTTTATAAACATAAATTTACCTGGAACAAGATGAATTTGTGCTTTAGGAATTCTCTCAGATAATTCACCGTGTTTACACCAAACTATTAACTTCAATGAGAACATTCATATTGCGAAAAACACTTCAGCAATACAACATGAGTGTTTAAGAAACGCTTTTGGTTTGTACCCCTGCAAAGGCCAGCTAGCTCAAGTTTGAAGCACCATTTAGCTGAGAGTTCATCTGGGGCAGAACTTGGGCTGTGTCTCAGGCAATACAAATGTAAGATTGTTTTTCCATGCCATAGGCAACAAAAACTTTCTGCCCAAGTAGAGAGGTGTTTTGCAATCAAATCTGAAGTGCCTTCTGGTTGCTTAATTCTGTTCTGAAAACTTCCCTAAGGTGTCTGTGTAAAGTGATGATGTTGCCAGTGGGCTTTTTTTGAATGAGGAAATAATTATAGACTGTTGCAGATTATTTAAGCCAACCTGGAGAAGGCTGTTCCTGTGTGAAGTGAATGCTGGCCTGGAGGAGTTGGTACAGAAAAGCCACTGCACTTTCGTTTCACATGCCGGTTTACTTCACAATTACCTCCCGTGACAGATAAGCCTTTAGCTTTATAAGTAAGCAAGGTGACAGTGGTGCTGTCCATTATTGTCTTCTTACTAGTCCAAAGTTAGATTCTGATCTCACAAGGCTCTAGATTAATATTGTAACTGGAAGAAGCAATCCTACCTGCCGTTTCTGTTGGTTCATAGTCTTCCTCATTGTGTTGATGGAGCCGCTAATGCAGCTCTGTGGAGATCAACTCGGAGAACTAATCACTACAAAATAATGTATTTTCCTGATGGGTTATATTTCTTCTGGATCAGTTAGTTCAGCTGTTTACCATGTAGATACAAAAATCTTTCACAGTAGCAGAAGGCAGCAGGGGGTACTAGATTTAGACTAAACAAATCAGTGATGGTTCATGCTGACAGTGTCCAAGCTAAAAGCTTAAGTATAAAGGAGAAAAGGGTGATTGGTTCTCAGAAACCTGTGTACATGGGGCAGGTGGCTAAATCTTGGATTCAGAGAGTTGAAATACCATCTTTCAGGTAGTTGTTGCTAATTTAACTTCTGTGGATGGCTTGGCCTAATAATCAGATGTAACAACAGTTAGCATATGGTGCTGTAAGAAAGCACATCTCCCTTAGTAGTGCTCGTTCAGAGTAACTTCTCAGCAAATCTTGTACTTGTAGTGCTTGTACCTGCTTGTGACTTCCTCTTCATTTTATGTATGCTGGTGACAGTAGATTCTCTCAGAGTTATGCTAATACTTGGCCATAAATGAGTCTTGCTGAAATGAAACTGAATTTGAGGTCAAGCAGAGGTAATTTATTCATTTGGAAATGATCTGGCTTATGGCAGACAAGCTTTGAATAAATGAATTTATTTCAGCAATTATCCTGAGATTACTGGTATGAAGTCCATAAAATGTATTTTTAAATGCTCTCATACCATTTAAGAAGCTTTCTCTCCTTTAATTGAAATGATTTCAGGGGGCTGTACCCAAAGGAAATGCCACTAAAGAATACATGGATAATTTGCAACTGAAACCAGGAGAAGTGATCTACAAATGTCCAAAGTGCTGTAGTATCAAACCTGAACGTGCACACCATTGCAGGTATGCCATAGTTTTCTTTAAAGCCGTTATGCGCATTGAGTCTTGGAATAATATTCCTGATATTTAGGTGTTAATTTTTTCCCACAATCTTCTTTTGGTATCCAATAAACTTTCAAATTCATACATTGCAGAGTATTTTATAAATAGAATGTACTATGGCCAAAACTGAATGTGGACGAGGGGAAAGAAGCAAGAGACTCGGGAGTTTTAAAATAATCATACTGATGTGTCTTAAATAATTTTTGGTCTGTGAATATTTTTTTTTCCTGTGTATCATTCTAATTATTGTGCTATACTGTTAATAATGCAGCACAAAGGTGAGAATCTCAAGGAAATTTCTGATAGCAGCTGATTTAAGAAATTACTTTTGTAATCTTAAATTAAGAAAATACAGATTAGTTTTAAACTGTCACTTTAATTTGTGTCTTCTTGTCTTCATAGTACATCATTTGAAGTTATTGGCAGATTATTTTCCCAAGGTTGCATGCATAATTGGTTAAATGCACTTCTGCTGATTGAAGATTCTTTTTAATAAAGACAGCAGTGATGATAATTTGACCTAAACATGGTATGGAAGAGATAGTAAATTTGCCCATTTTTAATTAATTCTCAATCTTTTGAGTTTTGGGGCACTGTGGATATGCATTTGTAATGTTTATTGTGTGAGAGTTGGAAGTAGATATGCCTGCATAATTAAGACTTACATAAATATGTAAATGTTTCTGGCAGCTCTCTCAAGGTGTGAGGAGTGATGTGTATTGAATTGTGTGGCGTATTAAATTTAGGTCGTTGAGTTAGTGCCCATCAGAAGAACAGAGTGAAGTCTTGTCAGGACTCTGAAATTATTCTGTAAATTTGTGGTTTCTAAATTAAATGTCTCCGTGTATGTCACTTATCTGTGTGAAAGTTATGACTGAGAAGCTATTTCCATTATAAATACTCAGCCTTGGCACTGGAATCTTGTTCTTCTCTCAGATGTGAGTGGGTTTTTGAATCTGGAGTGTGAAGGGAGAAGTTTCATGTATAAATAGTCAAGTATAGGATTATCTTCAGTTAGTTTATCTGTGTTGTAGGTTAGCTTTTGCACGGATGCAGATACCAGGCCGGCCTTCCTGTGCAGTGAGTTTGGTTCTGGCTGGCTTTATTAGCTCTGTAGGGTGTAACATGAACACAGCTGCACCACTTGCTCCGCGGGCCAGGGGGTGGAAGCAGTGCAGCTGCTTTCTTGTGGCAGAATATAAAATATTAATCTCTGGGAATTAATCTCCAAACCAGATTTGTGTAGTCTGGTCAGATGTCCTAGCATTGTGTTCATGGGGTGCGGTGAAGGGACACCCAAGAGCCTCTGCTGACTTCAGGTTGGATCTTGCTAATTTTCTCATCTCAGATTTAGGCTGGTTCCTACACAGACTTTGCCAGTGTCTTTGTAAAGTGTTTCCCACATTCTCAGTCATGATAGGATTTACTAATATGGAAGTAGCCCTAAATGAAGACATCTTATGTTGCTCCCTGCATATGAGCAAAAAAGCTGGAGTATTGGAGATCCTGGAGCTCTTGCAGCTGCATGGCTCTGTGTGGGCAGTGCTTATCTGTAAGACCTGGAGCTAACAAAGATATATGTTTCAGACAAGCCCTGCAGAGTCCCTCGGGTACATCTGGGCCATCGTCCTCAGCTGGTACTGTGTTATCTTGGATGTTCCAGTAGCCTGTGATCCCAGTTAAGGCAGTATTGATTGAAAAATTATTTATTTGTGGAAGACGACTAAAAATTATGTAGAGACTTCAAAACATTGTTTATAGCAAGATCTTGAATGACATTTATTGTTAAAGCAGAGCAAGAACGGGTAGTATCTACAATGAAGGAAATCTGTAATGCTTTCAAAGGGTTTGTTTTCAGTAACCACAGATTTAGGGAACTAGCTTTGCATGTCTTGTGAATTGTTTTACTTTTTATGCCTTGTTAAAATATGCTGTGAGATGTTCCATGTAAGGGTAAAGAATGCATTTTGGTGCTTGCACAGTGCATAACTGGCCTCACAGAACACTTGAAAGAGAAAGGTAGAGCCTGAAAGTGCATGTACTATCCTTTTGTAAGCCTGCTGTCATGAGTTTCTCAGAAGTTGGATATCTGTTTTAATTGTCTTTGTTTCCATTGTTCATACAATATGTGCTACTAGTAGTTGCTGTTTACTTAAGAAAAACAAAGGATTTTTTTGTAATGTTCTGAATATGGAATACGTACTGCATAGAGAGGTAAATGGGTTGGAAACCAGCTACCAGAATCTGATTCTTTGCCATAGATTTAGCACTACAGAAGTTTACTAAACAGAAAAAAGATTTGTTTGATTATACTGCCAACTTTTTATTGGCTTACAAACCCATTCCAAGGACGTTAAAAGGATGGTCTAGACCCAAGTGGTCAAAGTGGCAATTTGCTGATAGAAGAGACTTGAAAATGGAAATTGAAGTTGGTTCCTGTTGGGAAATACTTACACTCAAAGCCACAGAGCATGTTTTGAGTAGTAAATTATTAACAGAAGAGACTCTTATGATGCAGTTATGAAAATTGTTGTGCAACACTGCAGCGGAATTTCTTTTAAGGAAGAAAAATCATTTCATAATACACATTAGTGATAGAAAAAAGAACAAGAAACTTTTATTTACAGCTAAATATCTAGCCTCAGTGAAATACATTAAACTGAGATTTTTACTAAGCAGTTACATTTTCAGCATAAGAGGCTTATCCTGAGTGAATGCTGTTTCATTTTCACTGAAGGCGCACAGCTGTCATTATTTCTAGCCTATTCTGAGTGCCTGCCTTTGTGTGTGGAGAACAGTTACTCAGAATCAAGTTACTGAGACGTTTGCATCAGTTTTCCTGTGAATTTCTCTTATCCAGACCAATTTCTCTTAAGCCATTAGTGGTGTCTGAATACTGTTGGCCTTCAAAACTGGAATTGCACCTGCAGTTGCCTGAGTGCATTCAGCAACAGTGCCAAGCTGGAGGAGACATGCTTCTGTCCACAGCTGCTTGTTCTCACTACCAGATTGCTCCTTCCTCTTGTGCGAGGCATAAGCGTTCTGCACAGTGACATGACCCAAGTTGCAGCTAATAGAGTGACTTCTCCAAACTTGCTACATGAACATCTGTGCTTGGACAGGGGAAAAAAGAGAATACAAGTGACGGGGATAGGAAGAACGCAGAAGCACTGGTTTAAGCATTGCTGTGAGTTTGTTGGCTTCAAGTGTTCATTGAATCGTGGTGTGAGATTAGAAATGAAGGCAGGGTTCCAGACATCTGATGTCTTGGAGAGCTCTGCGTGGGCTTGTGAGAAATACTGAATGAGCAAAAGTGAGTCCTGCCAACCTCACATCCTCCAGTGTTTGGCTTGATTGAGTCTGGATATGATTTTACTCAGTACTTCACATTAATATTCTTTTTAGTGTGACAGTATGTATTTTGTGTTACATTAGGAGGCTTGCACTGTTGTGGTAACTAGAGTTAGCTCATCTTCCCACAGAGCTGGGGAAATTATCGAGTGGCTGAATTTACTGGAAGGAGGCTGTGAAATGAAAATCTTTTGGAGAGCCTTCCGAATGCCTTCTCTTGAATGATACCTCTTTCTTCTGCAATAGAGAACAGTTGCAGTGTTTAGTTATGATACTGGGATTTTCATGTGTAACTGGCACTGTTTAAAAAGTAACTTGCATCAAAGGATGAATCGTCTTTTAATGTCCATTAAACGAGAGGCAGCGGGAATGCAGGGGCTGGATTATGATAGCTCAGGACAAAGGGAGCTTCAGAAGAGCAGTGAAAGATTTGGGATTCCTTCATATAATGTGCACAGGAGTATGTTCTGCCTCTTGCTGAATTAGCTTATAATCATGCATATGTGATGACTTAAACTATTCTGTGCCTCAGAGCAATGATTTCCCCGCACACACCCCCTTTTCCTCACTCTAGTGACAATCATCTGAGCTTTGCTTCATGGCTTGTCACTGCAGCACTCATAGATACCATACATAAATAAGCATGCATTAAAAACAAAGGATTTTGAGTAACAGTGCCTGCATTTTTTTTTTTTTTGTCTGTCTAACTGCTGAAATGGAAATGCTTAATATTTTGGATGTTCTGCAGGAGAATCTGGAACACTTTGAGTGTGCGGCTATCTTAAGTACAAAGCTAGGAAAATGAAATAGCAGCATTACTTAAGCTATTGATTTATGGAAGAACATCAACACATGTTGCAACTGTTCCGTTTCTCTTGTATAACTGTTCATGTTTGGCTGCAGATGGACCTGAATGTAAGAGAAATGAGCCCTCTGGTGCTGTAAGGCCTAGCAGATGTAAAATGGAGTTATTGAAATATTTGACTTCCTTTTGGAAATAACCTTGACTCAAAACCAGACAGAAACTAAGCAGTTAGTTGCATAACTATCAAAGAACAATAGTGTTTAAGTATTCATTAACAAGTAAGCAAAGAACGTGTGCTGCTTAGAGTTTCAATATTTTTGTTTTATATTGAGGCAGTGAAGTGTGACATTGTGAACTGTTCTCACAACAAAAATCTCATTATTGAGATTTTGGTTGCATGTGTTCAGAATTGTATGGCCAGTTGAAACCTCAAGTGTGACAATTTTTCTCTTGAAGATGTGAATTTCTTTTTTTTTTTTTTTTTTTCCTGATTCTCAAACTAAATTTACAACTTGAAAGTCTGTAAACCTGAAATAATTGCTTTCTCTAAAAAAGCTTGTCCAGAATGGAAGGGGTTTTTTTAATAGTAAAACCCAATAAAAATTAAAAATCAAAACCACACACTTTGCTCACTCAGTGCCACACGTATCTAAAACAAGTTGCTGGATTAACTTGATCGTGTGTTCGGATATGCAATGATTCCCATATTAGTACTGGTTTTCTTACGTGAAGAATATCTTATGTACACGGTCAGTTTTGTAACAACCAAAAGCTGCGTTGTAAGTAAACAAATAGTTTCTTTAAAGAAATGCAGATAAAATCACTGTTTGCGGTTTATCAAGAAAAAGATTTCAGCATGTCACTGTATACCCATGTTTCTACATTAAAATGTGAAGTGTTGTTTCTCAACAGAAATCTCTTTTCCTTTCCTTCAGTATTTGCAAACGATGTATTCGAAAGATGGATCACCACTGCCCGTGGGTGAATAATTGTGTGGGGGAGAAAAATCAGAGATTTTTTGTTCTGTTTACGGTAAGTGAAAATCAACAGTAACTTGATCTCAGTATGACTCTACCTTGATTATAACAATTTCGGTTGTGCTTAGTAGTGAGTAATGGCTTAAAGGCACAGGGGTTTTTGTGTTGTTTTGTTTTGGTTTTTTCTCTCGTTCTATGAAAGATATTCTCCTAACAGGAAGATATTTCTGTTCATACCCATTTTAATCTTGTAAAATGCTGTTATTTTAAACTACCTTAATTTTGCTATTTTGCTGTGTTTTATGTAGTAACAATTAGTGAAATGGTACTGTGATTTAGGGAGCTAATCCTTAAACTTTCGTTGTTGCCCACGTTTTTAGATTCAAGCTTAATTAGAATTTGTTTCTACATCATTGTATTGAATTAAAAATTGAAATAGGAAAGTATATTTGCTGTGCAGTGGTGAAAGCTGGCTGAAAGGAATGTCTGGTTTACTACCTGACAGCAGTCAAAAGTAAGCACTCTCTCTTATTTCCAGATGTATATAGCCCTAATTTCAGCTCATGCGCTCATACTGTGTGGGTTTCAGTTTTTCTCCTGTGTCCGAGGGCAGTGGACTGGTAAGCAAATACTTAACTTTCACTGTCATAATCTAGCAGATATTAAGGGAAAATCATAGCGTTCCACCTATTTCAGTCCCATGTATGAAATATTACAGGACTTCAATCTTTTTAAAGTGAGGTCCTGAAAATATTTCATCCCTGTTTCTTTCTCTAAGTCATTCACTGTAAGAGCTGTGGCTGTCAAGGGCATTCTCACTCCCTTTCCACATAGTAAAAATTTACTGCCTTGCTTATAGGAAGGAAACAGATAGCTGGTCCTCAACCACCCCAGCACCATATTACCTGAAGCTGCAAGCTCGGCTTTGTGTGTCCCACCATAGTTCTGTGAACAGCAGCTGAAACTTAAACAAATTTCTCTCTCATTCTGTTACTGGAGGCAACTGTGGGGGTCCCATAAAACAGAAATCTCCTAAAGCGTCCCAGTTATCTTAGTGCTCTGACTTGCATTGCTTAATGTTCCAAGGTGCCAGCGCTAATTCTGATCTTGTGCTTTTGACAAAAGATGGTAGATCATATGTTTCTCCTGGTACCTGAAGCAACAGGAGAATCCGTGCAACTTTTTTTCTGAATATTTCATTAAATGGATGGAATCTTTAGTCTTTTTTTTTTTTTTTAAACTTGAAACATTCTGCTTCCTGTATACTTTCCCATTTCTTCTTTGTTTAACTAATTGAGGTAATCAGTTGATCAGAGGATCTCCAGAGGTGTTACCATAAGTGTAAGTCAGAACCTGATTACTTTGTGTGGTGAATTAAAAAATAATAATAAAGCAATCACAGCAAAATGGATCATCTGGCTTAAGTAGCAAGTCAGAGCTGACAGCGGTGATGGTTTCTACAGTGTTTGTCATGCACGAAACTTCAAACTATTCTCATCTTTATATATGTGCAGCTCAGAGTACTTAAATTCTTATGTGCAAAAAATTATTTACATCCTTGAAATATTGAGGCAGGATTGCAGTAATGCAGTACCATGTGCTTTAGAAGTCATTAAAAGTGTTACTTCCTTAAAATTCTTTATTTCCTTGGGTAGCAAATAAAGCTGCTGCAGGGCTAGAAACTAGATGTTTGTTTTTATTGTGAAAAACTGTTTCAAGTATCAGGTATTTAGCTTTTACTGTTCTTCGAAGAGGGGATGTCTCAGTATGAACAAGTACTATAGATTTTTTTTTTTTTTTTTTTTATAACTACATATATTGTTTTCACAGAATGCAGTGACTTCTCCCCACCTGTAACTGTGATCCTGATGATCTTCTTGTGCCTTGAGGGTTTTCTGTTTCTCACTTTCACTGCAGTCATGTTTGGGACCCAAATCCACTCAATATGCAATGATGAAACGGTAAAGACTTCTACTTTTGTATGCTGTAACAATTATTCTAGGAAGGTGTGTTTAGATGTTTTATTTGCATGAGGGAAGGCCCTTATTTTGGAGAAAGCCCCAAACCTAAAATAGCTCATAATTTTTATTTTCTACAGTTGTAAGGATTGAAACACTTCCTTGAGGTTTGCTTTCTAACAGAAGTTCTTGCATGATTTACTTTTCTGACATAAAATTTTTAATAAGGTTTTCAATTACAAAGATTGCACAGCTTCTGACTTCAGCTTGGACTTTCGCTTCTCAACTGTCACAAATTCCTGATATATGTCATGAGAAATGTCTGATTTTCTCAGGTTTAGACTTAACCTAGCTATCTTGTATCAACCCTTCACACTTCCCTCTACTTTGATACACTTTACTGGAGTATAGCCATAGTTGGACCTTTGCCCTTAGGTCTGCAGTGTTAAGCCTTGAGAGGATGTTTTGTGACAGGTAATTGATGGGATACATAAGGAATTTGAGTGTAACATGAGGAATTAAGTGTGCCTCTGTACTATACAATTGGTAAATATCGAGCCTTCATCAGTGTGAAGTACAAAAAATGATCATCAGAACAATGCATTTGGGAGAGTAAGCCAAGCTTCAGTAATTGCAGTGTGAAAGCCTTCTTGGAAGCCTTATTGTCTGGTTTCACTAACTGTGTAAACAACTCCTAGTGTAGGTATATTGCCTGCAGATCCTCTCCTGTGACATCAGCTTTGTTGGTCATTTTGTCTTTGAGAGGGGAAGAGGTAGACCAACTTTCTTATACACAGTTTGTGTTCTAAGTCATCTACTGCCCTCTACCCCCAGGGCTAAATCAGCCATTCTTATTTCTTCATTACTAAATAAATAACAGTAAGAAACTAATCAGCTTAGTAGCTATATGTTAAAAGAATGCAAAATAGTCATCGGTTTTGGTAACTGTTGGTAGACTTTACTGAACTTCAGACTTAACGGTGTGTCACTGCATGTCTGTTAATATACAGGAGATTGAAAGACTGAAGAGTGAAAAGCCAACATGGGAGCGGAGACTACGTTGGGAAGGAATGAAATCGGTTTTTGGGGGTCAACCTTCACTCCTGTGGATCAATCCTTTTGCAGGATTTCAAATCAGGCGACTTCTACTGAGAGCAAAGAAAGGAGGACCGGAGTTTTCTGTTTGAGTCTAATTATGCTGGAACTTACAAGAATACTATATAATATTTATTTGGGGCCAGAGGAGGCTGTCTACATATAATCTGTGACCAGGTGAAACTGATATCAGACATTTGCTTGTAGCAAGCAGAATTTTATACGTTTATTGTCACAGACATCTCATTAACTGTCAGAGACACGAACTGGATCTGTAATGGTCTTAACAGCAAGATAACAAAGGAAAAGCACGTGGTCACACTAAAGAAGCCAAATGTTGTCATGCTACTGTAATTTATTTTGAGATTAATTATCCATTTTTGTTAAACCCTTTTTATTTGATAAATGTTTGGGGAATTACCTGTGTGTTTTTATAAAAAGTATATACTTAGGTGCAGTTGTCAATCATAAGGAGGAGCATTATGATGAAACAGATCTCAAATGAGACCTAGCCTTCTAAATCCAGTTTTCAGGGAATAGTGGTTTGTTCAGTTTTAAGTTCTATTTCAGCTTGTCCTAATAAACAGAGCTGTACTCTTGTGTCCCACTTCAGGCACACATTCCTCATATGCAAGTGATTCAAAGGACTGGTGCACACAACAGCGTAACACACCCGAGGCACTGTTACACCCCTGCCAAATGTCTTCCCAGGCTCACAAAAGCATGTCTTGTGATTGGCAGTATTAATTTCATACGACATTCAGGTAAGTTCTAAATCTTCAGTAAACAACACTTTTAAGTAACAGCTGTGGGCCAAATTCTTCCCTCAGATATGCATCTCCAATTCTTAATGCATTGGTTCTAGAGGAACTTAAGTGTAGGTGGTTGAGGATTATATCTAGTCCTCTGTGCAGGGGTGAGTGGGACCAGTGACTGTATCTTCCTGTGTGAGACTCAAATGAATGTACTTCAGACTGGAGTTAATTAACTGAAAACAGTTGTCTTTGTAAAGTCTTGCTCTGCCCCTTTGTTGTTGTACAGACTTTTCATAGAAGGAAAGCTGTTAACTTAATGATCCCTTGAACAAAGACATTAGTGAAATGAGGGAGGTTGCCTCTTTCTCAAGTACAACAGCTTAAATGTAGAAGGATCTGTAATAGAAGGAATTATTTTGAATTTAACCATTTTCCAACCAAAACTACTTTCAAGAAATGAGAGCAATATAGATCTAGAACTGCTTTATGTGGGCCTGACAAACAACAGTAGTGCTAAGAAATGTTGATAAATCTGCAAACAATGAAATACAAGCTGCAAATAATGAAATTCAGCTGAAAGTTGGATTCTTTAAAAATTAGATTTAGACTATTTTTTGTAGTATTGTTAATCTGTTCTATAAATTACTGATAATGTAAAGGATAAAGCAGGAGCCTTGATGCATAGCTTGAAATTGTGCCTAGAAAGTAAATAGCTCCCTGTTCTGGGACTTGCCTTAAAATTGTCCTGTTCTTGCTTTTGCTTCGCCAGTAGCACTGATGATCTGTCCCACCTCAAGCAGTTCAACGTGCTGAAGAATCTTGCAGTATAAAGTTTACGTACTAGAGAAGCTATACTTTCTTTTTTTCAGTGACCTGCTTCTCCTTTTCTTTGTAACTGTCTGTGGCATCTTGATTCCAGCTTCATTGGGTTTTATACCATTGGGTGGGTGAAATTACTAAGGGATCCATTTATTATCCATGGCCCTGTGAACAAAACTGTGCAATATTATATAATATGTTCACTTTGCTTGGGGGAGATGGTGTGTAACACTGGACAATTTCTAGGTGGACACATCCAATGACATTGCAGTCAAATGAACAAAACTACATCTCATGTAACTGAGGGGAAAGTTGGAAGTTGTACAAGAATCTTTGCATATTCAGTTGCACATCTTAAAGATTGAGAAAAAAATGTGTCTGGCTTTGTCATGAGGCTCTTAATGTGTATATTGATTAATAAAATATCCTGAGGAAAATCAGAAAATATCACTTCAAGCGGTTGAACCCTGTGACTTAGCAAATGTGTGCGTGTGTGAAATCAGGTTTACTTGGCTTTTCAAACCCTTGTTATGTTGTAATTTTTTTAATGTAAAAAAGAATAAAGTAATGAAGTATTAGTTGATTAACTTCTGCTCTACGTGTCATTTTTTTTTTGGCACATTTATATGCATATTTGCATATATTTAGATTACAACAGCTTCAGGGTAATGGTCTTGCATCCTTTGGCTTGTAATTTATATGTACATGTATATCAAGTAACAGATGATACGGCTCCAAATTAAAGATGCTGCTCTGCTTATTAAGGGGTTTAAGCTATGCTAACTGCTTAGCTGCTCATAGGCATTTCCTTTTCTGCATCCTCGGGTAGAACTGCTTATCTGTTAGTACCTGCTTGTCTCAGGCGAGTGGGAAAACACACAGTAAATACTCAGTTAAGAGTTTTCAAATAGGAAGTATTTCAGGCTTCTCACTTTCAAGATATTTGTGTAAAGTACAGGTTAGGACTCTAGTTTCTCTGCACAAATGTTGACTTTTGCCACTAGTTCTGTAGCTTCAGATGCAAAGAGTCAAATATGCAGCCTAGAAAGCAGCAGTTCAGGTAGTTGTCAACGGAACAAGTGACCCAGCAAGGGTGAGGATGAGGCGGAAACGGCGCTGACAAAGGCAGTAAAGGATGGAGAGACTGGAAGCAGTTTATCTGGTGTTTGCAGCAGCTCCTACAAAATACTTCGTTACCTTTTCTGGATAGAATACCACACTTCTATACACTGCTGTTTCTATGGAGAAAATAGCTCCAAATACATTCATATAAACTTGGTGCCACTGCTTCTTGTATATTTAAGGATTTTAATGATTTGATTATATTTGTATGCCACAACAGTTAGGCTGTGCTGTGTTTACATATATTTTAGGGAAGAGTTTTTATCTTTTGTTTTCTTGTTTAGTTTCTAGTAGAAATGTGAGGTTGTTTCATTAACCTTTTCTGAAGTCTTAGCAGCAATGACAAGCAAGAATTAATTTCTGGCCTCCTTTATGCCTGTCCTATGTAAGTGTTGTCTTTCTCTGATTGTTCTCACTTCTCTGCATTGGCACTGTATTAATGTGAGTGTATTCCATACTATTGAAAAAAGACAGTGATATGAGAGGTTTTGAAATACAGAAATTGGACGGGACAGTGATTGTTGAATCTGTTAATTACACTAAAATGAAATGCACCAGCATTACAGTTCTGTATATTTTTAAGTGTTTGAACAGAGTAACGGTTCAATTCATGCCATGTGCTTTGTGGTTGAATATGAATTGGTGCTTCCTGATTGATGAGATTGTTAATTTTTTTTGCTTGTGTCATTTATTCATGCTTTTTATGTTCTGAATTTCTCCAGGGAGAAACACTCTTATTCAGTTTTTACAGTATTTCGTGACTGTGTCACAGTAGCATATGTGCTATTGTGATGCACATTACTCTTTTCATACCTAAAGAGAGCTCTGGAAAATATCCATCATGTATCAAAGCAATCACAGTTTTAGTTTCTTAATAACAAGTGCAACTTTGCACCTCCCAAAATATTTCTGCAATTTCTCTTAATAATGTAGTACAGGATAAAGTTAATATAAGACCCAGATTCAGTGTTAATAAATCTAAATGTTAAAATTGGTAAGGAAATGGATAACTTACAGAGAAATAGTTAAGACTTTATTACCTGAGATGCACTATTTGTGTTGTCCTGACAAAGCAGCTAGCATCTTGCCAGACAGCTAAAATATTTTTAAATGATGTCTGTCAACTGCTGTTGTTAACAAAATCCTGATTCCAATAAAGCAGAAATGTAAGAAAATAGTCACTTCCATGGTATGTTTGCATAAGATTATTGGCTTAATTTAGAGTGGGGTTTGACATAGAGAAGCCAGAAAGAGATTTTTGCCATGAATCTATTCTGGCTCCTTGTAAGACAGTAAATTATTCTTGACGTAAACCTTCACCAGACTGGCTGAACACTGTTCTGTTCCCGGGCAATTTTATTTTCTTCTATCAGATAATATCTTGGATTGTTAATTACATCAGTCTCAAGTGAAAGCTGGGCTCTGCGGCCATAGGTGATTATTTTATATGAAAAATAAATACCTAAGGTGAAAATCTCTAGGGTATTTGCATTGGAGAAATCAGTAGAGAAACTTGAAAACTTGGTTTTGAATTAAAGAAAAAAGGCAAAATGTCCATACGAAATATGAGAATATGGAATTTATTTTCCCCATAGATATATTTTCTTACCATTAATGAATATAAATGTACATTTAATTTCTAGAAAAGTAATGTAATCTACATGATGGAGGAACTGGAAGCAATGTTAGCCAAGTACAGTTGCATGTCATGCAGCAGGAATGCTTGCAGTGGAACCTGGTTTCCCGATATAGCTGTTTCAAATCAAAGTTATCAGCATATAATGTCAGATCAAATTCATCATAGACAGTAGAAAAATAAAACATTGTGATCCTAGGTGAAATTCAACCCAGTCTTCAATGGTTTTCAGATCGCTCTTGTGCTGTAGAATGGCAACTCTGAAATATCTCCCTAAGCAACGAAATACAAAGTATAACTCTTTTGATGAAAATTCGGATACTCTCCCCAACTCCTCTTTCAGTCATTTAGATTGCATTGCCACAGCGTCCTCCCTCTGAGGATCTCAAGGTGCTTCACAAGCATCAGGGAGAAAAGCTTCGCCAAGCCCCAGCCGGGCAGCACCACCTCCTTTGGGCCGTGGAGGGGGATGCACGTGGGTTAATGGATCTGTGCAGCCTGGCAGAACTAGGAATTCTCTGTCGTGCCCAGTACGACTGCTCCCAACCCCTCCAGAGCGGTCTGCAGAGATCACTGCACTTCTTTACAGGTAAGCGTAAGTTTTGCAGAAGTCTGGCAATCTGCTTTCTAATAAAGTCCAATCCCTTCAAAGAAACACTGTGAAACAATAACGGTGCTTTAGGAATCTTAAAGGTTATATAGTCACCTAGTGGGCATATTTTAAGTACTTGTAACACGGTTAATAATTGGTCACCTTCTGCTGATTAAGTGCAGAAGCACCTTGTTTTGAATACAAACATTTTTTTATCGTATATGGCTCATAGGACACCTGCCTCTTCCTTTTTTGGCTAATTCAGAACTTTGAAGTTTAGGTTGCAGACATTTCAAAGACAGGTAAAACTACAGCAAAATCGTATCTGTGGACTGCAAAAAGGTTTATTTCTTTGGCATTTTTGTTATGACTGTTACTACTTCTAAATATGTTTGCTGTAAAAGTTTGCAGAAGATACAAAACAGTGATTTGGTAAGTCAACAGCTTCTTGAGCTTCCTGCCAGTTGTGGGTTTTACCAGACCCGCCGGCTGTGGTCTGATGCAAAGCTCCTTGCTGCCGTCTTGGAGCTGCATGAGATGTGCACACAGAGTAGAGGAGGCATCAAATGACTCACAACTGATCTCTAGCTATACCAGAAATTACGGAAAATGAGAAAATGTTGGCATTCCCGGTTGCAAATAATAACTGACCAGCATTAAATGTTAGCTGGTCTTTGTGGAACAAGGCATGTCTGTGTGAAATAAGAAAGCTTGGCCTGCTAAGGGTTATGAAAATATTCTTCCTAAAAGCTTAACATGTAGCAGGAGAAATGGGAGTGTAATTAAATTTTAATGGGAATAGACCTTTTCATACTGACAATTCAAGACACACAGTACTCATTAACGATTACCAGGAACTGCACGAGGCGTTCGGTTTTATGAAGATAGCCGCCAAAGGCTTTACAAGGGTTGTGATCACACCAAGCGAGGTGATAACAAATGCAATCAGAAGGCCGGCTCCAAAGAGCTTTTGGTCTTGGTCCTACTGAAAAGAGCATTAACTCCAGTCACTTGTGAAATGAGGGTGACGGTGGTGGGAAGACCCGCGGGGAGGCTCCTGCTGCAATCTGGTACCTGGCGCTCGACTCACGGACGGGGAAGGGTGTGACCGACGGATCCGGCTACAGGCAGGGGGTTGCTGTGCTTTGCCTCTGCAAAGAGAAAGGGCCCGTTTCACTTTCAGCACGGTTTTCACATTGCTCCCAGCTTCTCCTTCCACCTCTCCCTATAAAATCTCCTGCTTGGGTATCACTGTCTGAGGCAAGAGCTGCGCTACGGCGGTGGGTCCTGCACTAGAGCCTAGTTTATAGTCTTCACTGCCTGTGCTTGTAGAAGGAGATGGAAGGGATGTTTCAGGAGATGCTGTGGGAGAGAAAAGAAACAGAATTAAAATGGACTTGGACACTGTTCAGGGGAGCAGTGCCCAAATAAAATCAGTAAGCCATCCTATGAACCAAGGAGCAGGAGCTTTGGGGGTTGGGACAGGGGGATCCATCCCAAACTCAGTCATGTTCAGGCATATTCTTCCTTCCTGCTTGTGAGGAGGCACAGGGTGGACTGGTAGGCACAGACCAACTCTTCTCAGTATTTTGCATATGGGAAATGCCCTCAAGTGCTTTTCAATCCTTCTTATCATCAGAGGAGAGCTCAACCTGCTGGCTACAATACTTCATTTACAGAACATAGCATCTCTCTAATCTCCCTTGCTGGAAGGCGGCTTAAAAAAAAAACTAAAAAAGAAAGCTAAAATACATGATGCCAACAGTTATATGGCTGAGGAATAGCAAAATATGCTCCAAGAGGTAGACGATCATAACTGACAGAAGGAGGCCATGTGTGCAAGACATCGTGATTACATGGCAGTGGCTGTTAAATTGCAACTCATGTTCTGCTTTTCTGTTTAATAGCATGGTCCATTTGCTGCTACAGTGGATAAATGCCTTAACAACTAGCCATTGCCTAGCAGCAGTGCCCAGAGTGGTTGAAGACGGTCTTGTAGTCAGGTCATATCGTGTTCTGGTTGACAGCAACCAAGATGCTTTATGTAGGGAAACTCTTGCCACTAATAACTGTGTGTACTGCTTTGTGGTATGTCCCAGCACTGCCTGTGTTCACAGAAACACACTGTCACCAATCTTGATTTCCTTTTTTAAATTTTTGTAATGTTTAGTAACATCTCAAAATCCCCCTGGATCATGCTATTACACAAAAATCCCAGCTTCTCTTTGGAAGCATGCTTCCAGACTGCATAGTAAAGGAAGTCAGCAGGCGGGGCTGAGAACTCTGGGTCAATTGCAATGCTGAAACATATAAATAAATTTAAAGGTCTTTTTCCTAACCACTTCTCCTATCCAGTCCCTTCATTATGCTGACACTAATAGTGTAAAAATGGACACGTACGGTCTGGAGCAGTGTGAATCACAGAGCTCATGTTGCCTGGGAGGACATGTCCTGGCAGCGGTTCCAGGTTGAGGTTGGGAGGTCCTGACTGGTACTGGAGATCAATGGTGGTTCCTGCAGTGGAAGTGGGAAAAGACATCATTCTTTGCATAGTTCCTGAGAAGCCAGTTGCTCTGGGCCAAATTTATTTTTTTCCGAGAATGCGGAAGACCTCTGTGGGTGGGGGTTAATGTCCGGGCTCGTCTTTGCTTCCTTTCTGCTCCAGCTGTCCTCTTAGCTCTTGGCCTTCTCACTGTCTAGGGACAACCTTCCAGGCTGGCTGGGGTTTCAGCTAATATCCAACTGCACAGTTCATCTGTCTGTCTGTGTCCCAATTACTGTTCTTATCAGGGTTTCCCATATAGCTGTAATTTTTGCATATTGATAATAAAAAAAAATGTGTTGTCTTCTTGCAAACTACCTCACTTTGGTAGGTTGCCTAAAAGTCGTGCCCCACTGGTGTGGAGCACCACAGAGTATACCCATTTCTATAAAACTGATCCTGGGTCAGATTTTCAGAGACAGGTTGGAAAGAAAGGGCTTGGGGATTGGACAGGAGTGTAGAGGACCCATGTTCAAGCTACAATTCAACCCAAGTCTTCACTTCCCTCCCCCAAGATCAAATTCTCCCTACCATGCATCCTGCAGAGAAGGACACAAACCCAGCCATGAAGCCCTGGAATGGCTCTGAAATAAAAAAAAAAAAACGTTGCTGTCCTTTCTCAGCAGGGTTCATACCTCCCAGCAGCATCTCCTGCAGCAAGCTGTCGATCCTGGCCACACCGAAGAGCTTCACAAACTGGACTTGCTCTATCATCTGCCAGGTGATGCTCTGCAGTGGGGGCAGCAGGAGGAGGATGTCACTGAACCGCCCTCGGGAGTCGTACTGGCGGTCATTGATGTAGTCTTCTAGGTTGACTTGGACCTGGAAGCGCATGTTCTTCACCTTCCCAGGCTCACTCAGGCCTTTGCAGTCTGGGAGGGGAAAAAATGAATTTAATTCCTGGCCTGCGTAACCAAAGAGTGTTACCCTGTCAGTCAGGGTCTGTGGAAGGAAAAGGGTGAGGTGCCAGTGATCCTCTGACAATTATCTGTCAAGTTTATCTGGCAGATAAACACTGGGCTGCCATTATTTCCCATCTCACGTGGAATAAGGAAACAGTAATTTGAGGGGAATTTGAGAGGAAACAGTAGGAAAATAAGATCTTGCTTCAGATAGATATGTCTGGTTACTGCTGTTAGTGAAGAGGAAGGATTTAGAAGTTGAACCATATTTGTCCTTTGAAGGAAACAGCCTGTAATTTTCCCCTGAAAACTTTGAGTCCCAACTACTGCCACTAAATCCAAGGCAGATTTAGTTCCTATAAGTTGCAATTACACTCGCTGCAGCATCAGATGCTTGTCTTGATTTCCTGTCTTTGACCTGTGGTCGATATGTTTTTCATGGACCACTGGTCCAGTTTTGCCTAAGCAAGTAAATGTGCACTCTGGGTAGGGTGAGATGCTAGGATTTACAGCTTGCCATTCCCACCTCTCCTGCTATCTAAAACTGAGATTTCTGGCTCGCTGGACCATTTCCTTCACTGTCTACAAAGAATCCACAGGCACCACCTTTTAGGGCTCGCCATGCCAAGAGATTAGATAAAGAGGTTAACAAATTATGCCTATGGACATGCCTAGTTGTCAGCATGAACATCCACTTCTGTAGAGCTTTGCACTTTTTCATTTTAGATGAAATCACAGCGCCTCACTGTCGCAATGAGCTAAAGCTTCACTGAGATACTGATCAGCCGAGAAGATAATTTGTCAAACTCAATTTGATAATACCACCCTTAGTCAGGTTTACAGCAGGCTCTCTGGCGAGCCACAGTTGATGACGTTTGTAAAACTCCTGTATCTTGATTTCAAATCAGTGAACACAGCAAAAAAGAACTAATGAAAGATACTCTAATTTCTGCATGCTAATAGATGCCAAAGACAAAAGGGCATTGTTCTGCACTTGGGATTGGTTCCCCCATCTCTTCTCCAAACTGCAGGGCAATACACACTAAAGGGACACGGGTGTTGTACCAAGAGGAGGTTGTGTGTGTGCTGCAGGCATATAGAAACAGGCGCGTTTGTGGGAAACCTGGGCTGAGACAGAACCCCCTGTGTTTGTGGAATGAAAATACAGCAAAGGTTCAAAACAAGCTTTTGTTTGCCTCTGTGTGTTTCCCTGTTCTCCATCCTGTGCAGAACAGCCCTGCCCTCAGTCATCCAGGCTGCCAGCAAGATCCATTAACAGACATCCTTGATATTTCTGGGTATTCTGAACAGTCCAGCTCTCTGTGGCTTTTAATGCTGCTTTCTGAATTCTGATGGCTGCCCCACACTGCTGCTCAGTTGACTCACTTCGCTTATGCATAATTCAATATAGGCATATATGTCCGTAATAGTCATCTCCTTCATTTCAGTCTGATGGACTTTTCTGAAGCCAAGCTACAGAAGCAGCAAAACTCCTCTAAGTTCTGCAGAGTCTTGCGCATCGGTCTGGCTGGAGTTACTACTTTCTAACTAGTGAAATGTTCAGAAATAGGTCACTTCTAACATGTCCTTGCTGCACTACTAGGTATTGCTCATTACAGCAGAGGCAGAGTGAAATGCAGAGCTGCTGCCAAGGGGTTTTCCTGGTTATTGGAGAGCCCTCAACATCTTTTCAAGCCCCATGCTTGGTAATCAGGAAGGAAGCTTACCTGGATCAAAGAAGATGATGGCTTTAAGGCAAGCATATTCATTGTCATCTATCTGGATGTCTCGCAAGGGCTTCACCAACTCGTCCAAGATTCTGGTGGCCACACGAGCGATTTCCAGTTCTGGGCAGTGCATTGGGATGATGAAGTCATTCCCTGGGAAGACAAGAGAAATTTGCTGTCAGATTTTCACTCTAGCTCTGCAGAGACGGCCGCATCCAGAAGTTACCCCAAGGCATGTTGTCAGATAGTCCCAGCGCCCACGTGCAGCAGATTTCTAGTGTGCAGCTTCATATTCAGAGTCACGGTTGAGAAGCAAACCATGGATCTCATTCTTCGGTCCTTAATTATCTCATTTGCACATGTCGGTGCACCCACACTGTACGCAAAGCCTGCTCCACATTCTGCTCTGGTATACCCTCTGTTATACCTGGTATGTCTTTGCAATTGGTGTTGCATCTGTATTTTTAGTGTGGTTTTTTTTAAAAAAAAAAAAAAATAGTTCTCCCTCCTTCTTTTCCTTAATGTGTGACTTTCAAGGTCAGTATTCACATTTTTCCAAGAATAATCTTACCTGTGTTTTTGGTGGCAGAGAGCTACATTAAAAGGAAATACCTGTGTGCACTATAAATTTTAATAGATCTTTCTGATAAGTTTTTAAGCACCGATATACAAATATTTAATTGCTTGCTGGAAATTTTAGTTACAAAAACAAGGCAACACAGTTTGAGATGCCATTTAAATATTGTGGGGTTTCTTATCCACAATTTCAAAGCAGTAAGGGAATAATTGTAAAAGTCCCAGCGAACTTGCTCGCTCCTTTTTATGGCTCTCCAGAGCCCTTCTCAAGCATTTAGTCTCAAGCCAGATGTGCAGACCATGCCCAGGAGTGCAGAGAAGATTTCAGGCAGGCAGGATACTTGGCAGTGACTCGGATATGTGAATTATAAAAGCAAGAGTGTATTTCACTACTTTACCTAATAGCAGAAAATCAGTGTATGGTATGGACCGCTTGGCTACCCCGAGGAGCAGGTGTTCCCCTGCGTGGGCCCTGAGCAAGGCAACCTGGAGATGGCACAGAAGAAAGAAATAATACTACATTTGAAAAATAGAGAACGGGAAGGTGAGCTGTTGCTGTTTAGATTAAGCTAAATTTGGTGTTTGCATAGATATGTCAGATCTACAGATAAAGTACTATAAAGAACTAGAAATTATTGGTATATTTCACTTTTCAGAAGTGCTACATTTATGGCAAACTAAATAAAAAAATTATTTTTAACTGAAAGAGCAAAGAGTGACTTGAGTAATTCGAGTTCTTAAAAAACAAACAGATTTTATATTCAACTATCAGGCACCAATAAAGGGAAACCCAGAATTTTTTGTTTGGATACTGTGCAGACTGGAGTGACCAACTCTACTATATTCAGAGGGAGTTCTGTTACTCAACTTATTTTTAAGTGATCACTTGTCCTTTATTATTCTTTCTCTCCTGCTAGTTCATTGCTCTGCATTGGGTGATCTATATGTTAATGTCAGCTTCTCCAGCTGAAAGGTATGGCTGGGGATTCCTATCGAAAGCGGTGGGTTTGCGGGGAAGAGGCATTTGCATTTTACCTGGTCGTCAAGTGGAAGCTCACAAAAAGCCGGAATGTATTTGGCCCATTCAACCAGCACCAGAAGCTGCTGTTTCATGGATTCACACACATCGTTGATGGTTGCAACCTTCTTCATAGCAATGTCCGTGCTGTGCACTGGGCTCAGCGATGAATACTGAAAGAGAAACAATCCAGCTGCATTGGGACCAGATCTGTGCTGTTTTGCCACCCTTGATAACAACAGTTCATTGATAACTTGGGGAGCCTTCGCAGACATTACCCTCACCAGGTCACCGATGAGACGTTTGCTGCTGTGGTTGCACATTTATTTGCTCAGCGGTGTGTACAGTCCAACGTACAGCCATGGTGAAGCCTCCACGAGGTGGTGCTCGGTCCCAACAGACACCCCTCCCTCCTCCAACTCCTTCCCTACTCTCCAGGCTGGCTCAGGACAAAAATCTGATTAATATTCCCGTTCCTAGCAGTAGCCAGCAGCACTGGGTCTCAGCTGCTCACTTAAGCCAGACAAATGCATCCAGCCTTTCTCCCCCAGGTTGCTGTCTGGGACACAAAACACCCATTTCAATCTCTAAAGAGCTGCATGGGGGGAGAGGGTTAAAACATAATTTTTGAAAAGGAAGTGGACGCATTGCTGCATGTAATATGCAACATCTGGACCGTATATTTCAGTGGAGAAAGGATATTTGCATAAGAGTTTAAAGGACGCGCAGGGTGAAATTCATTGTGGAACATGAAATAAGAAAGCAATCAGTGTTAGTTAAAGCCCAGCAATTTTATTAGCTTTATTTTTCTCCCCTAAAATTGGTGCCCTGGTAAAGAAGTTACAAGAAAAGATGTAATCAACCATGACTGGAACATTATGTTCTGAGCAGGACGGATTGTGCAGCAAGGAGGGATAAACTTCTGCATGGAATGAAATGAGTTTTTAGGGGTGCAGCAACAATTGAGGCTGGGGGCGGGGGCGACCTGGGGTCTGTAACATCCCTCAGCCCTTGGAATTTCAGCTTTGCATCTCACATGCCAAAGGCTACATCTGCTCCTTGCAGGACATGTTGTCTTGATAAAGCACCAAGGGTTTTTACTGAATGCTTTTGGGTATCTCTAATACATTTTCTTCCCTGTGGCTTTGTGCAAGAGCCATCCAAGGGCAGAAAAAGATCCAGCCCTGGTTAGCTTAGTGAATTCATAACCCCATATGGAATAGCTGGAGGCTTTGCACTCATCTGGAGGGCTGTCCCTGCATTTCGTACCTGCTGGGCCATGGCCTCGGCCTGAGTGAGCACGTGGATGGAGAGGGAGCCGTTGTCCTCGTAGCTGCTCCTGCGGATGCTGATCCTGTCGCGCTCGTTCTGCACGGCTGAAATGAGAGCGAGCACTGGCTGTGTTAGCAAGGAGCCTCTCACACCACCGACGCCTTACTCGTGATCCCCAAACAGAAGTGGAGGGGCCTTTAGTGCCTGCAAGACCTTCTACTCTTGTTGGATGCTGGAATAAGATTAAACAGACCCCAGGGGAGGGGAGAAGGCCACCAGAGAGGGAAAAGGCCAAACACAGGAGTAACATAAGGAGATAAGGACCTTTGGCGGTTGGAGCAACCCCTGTGGGACATTAGTTGGTCCCACTGCGTTTGATGCATCTCAGGGGGAGTTTGGGGATTTGATGTCAACCCTTTTCACTTGGAAATGCACCCTGACTGCTGGAGTCCTGGCCTCCGATACCCTTTTTGCCGTGTCTGCACTAAGGATTTCTCTCCTGAGCTCCCAGTACCGCAGGATGTTCTTGAGACTGAGTCTTGTCTTACGGCAGAACTGGAAAAATCATCCCCTGATCCCACCTCAAGGCAGCCTTGAAGTGTGCCCTGCTCCTGAGACATCGCAGGTGGTGGCCCCCCAGGGGCCATCTCCACCACTCGTGGGGAGCAGAAAGATTGACCTCATCAAGAAATCTCCGAAGACTGAAAGCCTAAATTCATTGATTCCCCCTTAAAACCGTTCCCTCAGCCTGATGGCAATGCCGGCACACAGCTGGTGGAACAAACCAAGCCAGGGTTTGTCTCCAGCTCTGCTGGCACCCTGTGCAAACCGCTGCTGCAAATCAGCTCAGAGTGTCCTGAACCGTTAATAACAGTGATATGACGCACCTTGGACACGCTGTAGGGACCACAGCAGAGTGAAAATTAGCCCTGGGATTTTTGAAAACAGAAAGGTATGGCCATGACATGGTAGATTTGAAAAAAAATGCAGATTTTTTTGAGGTCTATTCCACCTTTTAAACCACCCTCTTCCCTGAAGCATAAGCTGCATCTAGCCCCATGTTCTGTCAACCCTGCATGTTAAACATACAGGATTTATTGCACTTTGGCAGCTTATTTTTGCAACACAGGCTCCAAGAACTAACTCGCCTCCACTGCAGCCATCAAGTGAAACAACAGCAGAGAAAAAAAAAAAAAAAAGAAAGAATTTAGACTTAGCCCAATGTTGTTTTCAGTGTTAGTTTCTCCCACAAGTCCTATTGCCTCCATCCAGCAGCAAACAAGCTCACATGGGGCTGGAGGAAGGAGCCTGAATGCAGACTCAGCATTTTCCTGACAACTCCTACATCTTGGCTATGTACAGCTCAGAAAGACAATTGTCAGGTCCTTAAAGCAGAGGGAGCAGGAAGATTTAGCATGTGGTGATAGTGCAACACATCCCTCCTCCTTCATACAGCAATTCCAGGCTCCTTTTGTTTTATTTAGGGGGAATGACTCAGACATAGCTGTCAAAGCACAACTCACTCTGTGCTTTAACCCCTTGGATGTGAAATATTGCGGTTTTGTCTCAAAAGTGTCCACTGGAGGAGGTTTTTTCCAGCAATGATTTTTTTTGCAGCGTTAGCAAAATAACTTCACCATCACTCTTTCCAGACCTTGCCTTGCTGTTGGGCCTTGCTTTAGAGCAAGCATCACTCTTTGCACGGGGCACATTTCTCTGAACCCATGCAAAGAAGGAGACATGGGCACCGTTTTGCACACAAAGTGGGAAAGTGGGGGTTTTGTCAGCTCAGGTCCAACCACTGATCTGTTTTCCTAACTGGCCTCTGATGAGAGGCCAACAAAGTGAAAGGGCAGAAAACAAGCAACAGTGACAGAAATCAATATCTCCAGCTACCTGCAGGAACACAGTATTTATTTTCCTGGGTTTGGGTCTCAGTTTTGCTGTCAGTTGGGACCTGCTTGCTGCTGAGCTGGGTGTGCTGGGGGGGTCTGCTGGGGTCCAGCCACCAAAGCCATTTGGTAGCTTGGAACCAACTTTTCCTGAATGGCTGCAAGGGGCTGGATGGGTACATCGCTTTGTAAAAGATGCAACACACTTATATATTACTGGAACTTTTCCAGGCTATGGATGCTACATAGAGGCAATTAGACAACAATTTAGAGAGAAAAAACTACTACAGCCCTCAGCAGTCTCTGCTAATCTACCTTAAGCAACAGCGTGCGTTATCCTATGTGCGAGGGAGGTGGTGGAATAGGCTGTTCAGCCAGGGATCCCCACTAGTCCGAAGGTGAAGGTGGTTATAGGAACCATAATCTATGATTAATCTTCAGAATAGATTAACCCTTCACAGCTTTCTTTGGTACACCAGAAAGACAAGCAGCACCATCCATCATTGAGTAGAAACAAGCCCACCCAAATCCATGTCATCGCTGACATCCTTGGAAAATCCCCACCCAACTTTCTATGCCTGGTTTCATATCAAACGCTCCCCCACATAGCTCTCCGGGGTGATGGGGCTCCTTTAGCCCACTTAAAAAAAAAAAGGTACAAATTTTGCCTTTCAAACACATCTTATTTCAAGTAAGCCCTACAAACCCAGGCAGACCTGGTCCTAGCTCCCAGTGACAGATTCCTTTAAGAAGCCTCAGCCTGTTTTTCTCCCGGGTCCTTTTATGGCACGTATTTCAGTGCTTTCCTCATGCTCTGATAAATTCAATCTTCAAGTATAAGTGGACAGTACAGATCAACTTTCTCAAGGTGATGTGGGTGTTATCGCTGAAAGTACCCAAGATGTGGTGGAATTAGATACAAAAGGGAGTTAATGTTTTACCTGCCACAAAATTAATCTATTACTGTGTGGTAATTATATTGCTATATTTATTGTGCTTGTAAAAGGGAAGGGATGGGTCACTCATGGTGAAGCATCGGGAGTGCTCAGGGGTTGTGATGGCGCTGAGGGTGCTCGGGTTCGGATGTGATCTTGGCTTTGCAGTCAATAAAACTCAACAAACTTGCAGAAAGGACTAAAATCCCAGCGCTGGATCCCACCGTCTCCCAGGGACTGCTATTTCTAGTATATGCCTGGCAAAAGCTTTGCTCGCCCATTTTTTTCCCTTCTATTCCTGGCCTCCGCCCAGTGCTCCAGTTCCCAAGACCAGTAAGCACTGGGAAGGGCCATGGCAGCCCCGCACGAGGGGACAGCAGTGGGGACAGGCCCCCACGATGCTGCCGGCTGGGGACAGTGTGGCCCTGACCCAGGCTTTCCCGGGGATGAAGGGGAGAGAGGGAAGATGGTGCCTCTGTGTCCCTCTGGGGAATTGTCCACGGCTACGGCATGTCCTGACTGTGGGAAGCGGACAGGAAAACAAACATATTCTCCATGTGACGTGGAGGAGCCGTCAGGAGGGTTTTGTTATTCAGAGCAAGCCGGGGCCCTTTTGCCACGAGCGCATTACAGATGCCGGCAGCCGGGCAGGCTGCGGAGCATGCACAGCAGCTCTTGAGCAAACAGCCGTCTGTTTGTGGGATTGCAACAAACCCGTGTTTCCCAAACATTTTGTCCTTGCTGCCTTGCCACATAGGTACAGAGCCGGTGATGAGGAACCTCTGGGGAGGCCAATAAATACAGGCACAGGCATTGATTGGAAGGGGACAGCAGCAAACCAGTAACTTTCCATGGTAACTGCAGAGGTTAAAGCCCTGCCTACATGGGAGTTACCATTTCTATTATAATTCCTCTAAAAACATCCTCATTTGATGCCAGTGGAGTTGGAAATGTATTACTAAACAGTATAAAGAGACAGCAGGAGGAGGGAGGTGCAAGTGCCCCAGCACGGTGCCGGCACTCACCAGTGCTCTCAGTGCTCCTCTCCCTACCAATAAATTTATCCCTTCTGCTGTCTGATTATATGCACAAATAATTTTTTTTTCACCAGGATACCTTATTTGGTAGGTGTGGTATACTTTGTTTGCAAATAAATCCCAATGGTACACACACATTTAATCATTTCATGGGCTTCTGGCCTGATTTGTGACTGTCACAAAGTGGGGAATATCCTTTAACTTTTCCAACCATCTTTGTAATAAACTGCAGTCTCAGCCTTCTATAAGCTGACAGAAGAGATGTGCAAACAAAAGGTATGAAACAAGACAGAGGTCCTGTGAAACACTAATAAAACTGTCTTATAAAGCTGTCCAATTTAACAAAAATAAATAAAAAATAACCTCCAATCCCTCCACTGAGTTGTGGCTGTAAGTGATAAAATAACTCTTTTTAGTCCTGTGTAAAACCAAATGAGTTCATGTACATTCATAAATTACTTTAAAGGGGATGAGAGGTTAAATATTAACCCCTCTTTTTTTCACCAGCAAGCTGAATCCTGACAGTGCAGAGCTGGCATTTCAAAAGGCTTCCAAGTTTTCAGACACTCAAATCCATGTGAGTATATGACCTGGCTCACTTGAAAAATCATACCCTGCTGATTTATTCAAGGTTAAACGTGATCCCAGGAAATGCTAAAAATAGTCTCTGCTGTTTTCTTTGGGTGTTTAAGTATCTGGTGTGCTCCTCATTCACTGGTGCCGTAGTGATCAAAAACCTGTCCAGTAGTATTGTGTGAAACAATAGAAATCAAACCTTCGCTTGTGAAAAGAGAGAAAATCAGAGAAAATAGCCAGAATATCCCCGAAACACCCAGACCACCCTGTGGTACAGTCCCAGCCTTAATCACAAAACAAGAATAAAGGAGTGAATCTCCTATAAAAATCTTAAATCCTGAGCATAGTGGCGCTTCAGGAGACAAGAAGGTTTTTGCGTTCAAGCAAACTTTCTCCTCTCCCCTCATCCCAACTTTAATGATTGTTTACTTGTAGTTATCAAACTGAATTATTGATACCAAGAATGTAACTGGGCTAGGAGTGTTTCTGAATGAGCTAATTTCCAGGAAACCTAGAGACTGGATTTTCCACAAGACTCAAGTTTTGGCCCATTCTTGCTCTTGCTGGCACCGATGGAACCTGGATTCTATCTCAATGCACAAGCCTGGAGGTGTAGGGCTCATCTGTGGGACAGTCCTGGTCCTTTCCAAAAGGAGGATCAAATTCAAAGTGTACAAACAAGACAATCTAAAGGACCCTACTGATCTTTTTCTCAACAACTTCTGTACAACTGCCCCAAACCCCTAACGAACCTATTACCCAACTGTGCGTTGCTCCCAGGACCAGGTCACGTTGAGACCCTCAGCCCTGAACCAACATTACCCCTATAGACAGTTTAAAGCTAACTCGACTATTTGCATCATATGGCTTTTTCTTTAAGCAGAAATTTCCATTCTACCAGGCCAGATAATACAGCCCCTCTCAATCTCTTATTCACTAGAGTTGTTTCCAACAGGGGAAAAAAGAGGGAAAGAAAGATCTAAATGCATCACGTCACATCTTACAACAGAGGAAGATTGGAAAAAATATCACTCTGTAACCAAAATTCCAGTTTATCAGTTAGTTTTGCTGGGATGAAAACATGTTGGGAACAGCAGGTTTTCTGATACTGCACACACACCCTTCAAGCAGTGGGTCAGTGGGGTGCCGGCGGTGGGGAGTGTGCAAGGGTGACACAATCCTGCTAACCCCACCCCAGGTGTATTGTCATAGACAGGCTGGGAAATGGATGTTCCCAGCTTCTTCCCCTCTACTGTGAATAAACAATGCTATTACCACACCCTGGAAAATCTGATTGCTATTATATGGGCTGGCTGAAAAGCAGTGTGCCAGAGAAAGAGGGTGTCAAACCCTTGCGTGCCAGTGCTGGAACAACAGGACACATTGTGTGTGGATGTCACAGCTGTGGTCTCCCAACATGAATCGGTGCATGCCACCAAAAAATTGTACACAAACATTTGTATCATCCTCATACTGCTCTGTCCCAAGACATGGCTCCTCTTTTTCCCTAATGCTTCGCAATACTGTTTAATATTAATCTAGAACCACCCTAAAGCAAATAACTGTGTTCTTTTTGTGCACACAGTTATGCAAGAAAATTTCTTTCACAGTCCTGCACACATGCTTTGGATATAGCTCTGGTCAGCTACGCTGATTTCTGCAAAGCCGTTGCTCAAGGTGCTTGAAAATTTTCCTTACCAAACACATGAGCAGTTTGTGAGCACACAACCTGACTGTGCACTCATAAAAAAGTTTCAAAGAATGTGGCTATGTGGAACTTGAAATGAGTCATCTTCCACCAGGCTACAATCAATATTGAAGGCATGAGCCAAGGTTTTACAACTTTTACCATAAAACCAATAAAATTCATGCTTCAGCTCAAAGAATGGAGCTGATAACCAGATTTCAGTTTTCCAAGCTAGGGAGCTTGCTGCATCGGCAACTGGCTCCATCCCCATCTAGAACTGACCAGATATGCTTCAGTTTGGTCTTTATGACTTTGAGGACTACTTTTTTTTTTTTTTTTCTATCTGCTGTATTTGCTCCATTTCTCCTAAATTAAACCAGCAGACATTTTTGCTACATCCATGACCTATGCCAAATTGCAGGACACCCTTGTTCTCCAGGAAAACATATGGTCAGAAGGTTGGAAAGATTTTTTCATCACTAGTGAAATCTTATGAATTACCAGAAATCAGTGACAAATTTCCCTTTGGTTTCAGTGGGACCATTATTTCACCCTTTGGGTAAGGGGCGTTGAACTCAGTGGCATGGAAAAAAACTGCCAAGTTCTTTTTTAGCTCCCTCACCCTTTAGCTGTCGGTGGGTTGCAAAACAGAACAAATGAAGGGTGAAGACTGCTGAAACCATCACCCAACTACCTGCACATCAGGGGATCTACCATCTGTTGTGGGTTGGGCCCCCACTTCGCTAAGTACTCAGTGTACAAAGACAATTTCTACCCAGAAAGCTGGGGCTAAGTAAAATAGTATCATCCATGCTCTCCCACCATGCGAACACTGAATGATCAGAGACCAGAAATGCTATGATAGGTCCCAAACATCCCCAGGGAAGCTGGCTGTAGGGAATTCAGGCATAGCTGAACAGAGGTGGTTTTTCTCTTGCTTAGCATTAGGCACTGTAACACTTAGTATTTCCTTTAGTGTGTTGGAAGGGCACTTCCTGATGGTCACTGGCACCTAAATGCTCTACAACGCTCCACCTCCCTCTTAATACAGCCAACGTGAAGTGCAACAAAAGGCATCAGCCAATATTGGTTTGGTCATTCAGTACTGGTGCCACCAGTAGCTCTAGAGCTGTGCTATGCCCACCAGGACATCACTACTGGTGGGTTTGGCTCTGACAGATCCCAGCTCAGGAGACACAGGAGCCATTTGCCTCTGGGAGCACTGCCTGTGTGCCCCATGCCATGGAGGAGCCTCTCTTGCACCATGAGAGGTCGTGCTCAGGATACACTTTGCCCTAAGGTTTGCACCAAGCTATGTGAGCACCAGCCAAGTCAACCGCCAAACGCAGCTCTGCAGTAGTCAGTTCTTGGCATTTATGAGGAGGAGGATGGCAGGTCCTCACTGAGACTGTCACAGCTGGGATTAGAAGTCGCACTAGCAGATATGTAGTAAAGAAATTTCTGTTGTGAAACAATTAGAGGCTAAATAAACCCTGAACAAGGCTATCCCTTTCCCAGAGTAAAAATATCCTAAAGAGTCCAGCCTCCCAGGATGGGTGAACACTGTCACAAGGCTATAATCGAAATTCCCATCTGGTAGGATAAGAAATGGGGCTTTCAGCTTTGACAACATGAATTCTCTACTGCAACACATGAGCATCATCTCCCCGAGCTAGCACTGCTTCCACTCTTCATCATGTTCTGCAGTGAAAGTAGAGCCAGCAGCAGACAGTTTTGAAATGTCTCTTTGCACCTACCTTCTTTCTTCATGCCAGCTCTGAAGCACTTCTTCAGCCTGCAGTACCTGCACTGGTTCCTCTTGTCTTTGTCTATCACACACTGTCGGCTGAACCTGGGAGATGGGGAATAAAACATGGAGCAACCAGCCTGGCATCTGCAACCCACTCACCCTGAGCAGCCCCAAATACCTCAGTCCCAGACCTCACTGAGCTACACATTGCCTGATCCCAGAGAGGAGCCAAAAGTTTGGAAGAAATGGATTGAATCAACGTTGGGTTGGCCCAGTTCCTCATCTTCCCCACCGCCATTCCTGCCAGCTGGGAGCGCAGTGATTTCAGACCACCCACCCTGCGAGGACTCTGATGGTTTTGGCTGTGAAAGCCCGACTGTGACTCAAGTTGTGCCGGTGCCTGGCAGTGTAGGAACTCCATCTCCCACTTTCAGACAGTTATTGGGTATTTGGCTTTGGGACTTGTTTGATCCCAGTTGTTAACACTGTCCTGCTTTATGTAGAATAATTACATTATGGACCGCAAGTTCTTTTGTGTCTTCAGCCTAGTTTTGAGGCACACGGTCTCCTAATTCCTATTCATATCAATAGGGGGGTTTAGGAACGTATGTGCTGTGCAAGGGGTGGCCCACACAGACTTGGCAGCTCTTGCCATGGTGGGTCAAGCGATGGAAGAGGTATCTGCCATGGAGAGAGGAGGCAGTGTGGGTTGCTCTGCAACCATCCTCATGTTGTAAAAGCTGAGGCACTTTCCCAGACTGGTAAAAAGCCAAAGGTACAAAGGCCTGAAGACTTTCCAAGGAATTCATGTCTGCGATAAACAGAGCTCCGAGCTGGGCTAAATACAGCATGGCTCACCAAATAAGGATTTGCAGACAAGCGAGCATTTACCATTTGCTTGGCTTCGATGATGTGGCTCTTCCCTGAGATGCCAAATATCACAGAGGTTCATGGATTGCTGGGGAGGGGTGACAACTCTGCTCCCAGGAGACTGATAGCTGAAATTTCAAAGAAATCAGTAGTAGCTGTTGCCTCCTCCTGCAGAGATCCTGGGATTGGCATGGTGTGGGTGGACACTACTGTCACCCTGGTGTCTTTTATGACTTGTGTGTCCTGGAGTGATAAGGACCCCAGGAGCATTTTGAACAAACAGGGTGACTTGTGTTGCAAAAATTTGGAATGCCCTTAAAGGGGAAACAACTCTGGAACAGAAGGAAAACTTCCAGGTTTTAATTAGAGATGAAGGGCTTGAGTGTATTCAGTTTTTTTTCCCTTTCCTCCTGTGCTAAAATAAACACATTTTTCTAAGGTCAACCAAGATATCTGCTGTATAATTTATAGCCTCCTCCTGGTAAAAAAAAATATCTCAAATGTATACCTATGTGCCAAAGTGGATGTAAATCATCACCGGTCTACACTAGGTTCTCAGAATGATTGTAAAATCATCAGTGATATGTCAGCGTGCATAGTTTAATGCTTTCAAAACAAAAATGGAAACAGTGGCAGGGAGGTGGAGGCTTTGGAGGTAGAAGGTTCTTGGACGCTTATTACTTCTTACTAGGAAAATCAAGGGACACTGCATTTGAGATTAAATCTCTAGAGCTTTGGTCCTTTGTCACTTTGGCTTTCCCTTGTTGGGCTGTGATAAGGTTATGGTGTCACTCCATACCCAGAAGCTGATTTATGTATTATACAGTCATACCTCAGACCTATAAGTTTCCCTGGATTTACACCGTGGGGAAAGCAGTGATGGTGAACCCATGAAATGGGTTGCTCAGTGTCACAAAAGGTGTCAGGGTGCAAGAAGACATAGGACTTAGCTTACTCCTTAGCTCCCTGTCTTCCAGACAGAAGCTAAACTGCACTATTACTGTTATCATTTGTGATGTAGTAATTCAGCATTAGGGATAGGGGCCCTGTTGTACAACCTAATCTGTACCCCAAATTATATACAGCATCAGTAAATTCTATTTATTTATTGCAGAAGGGGCAGGTACCTGCAGGAATAGACATGGTTCTTGCGGACACTCCTCCTGAAGAAGCCCTTGCAGCCGTCGCAGCTGGATGCCCCGTAGTGTTTGCCGGTCGCCCGGTCCCCGCAGATGGAGCAGAGCGAGCCGAGGCCGTTGGCGAGCAGGTTGGTGTTTGCCGATTCGGCTGCGATGGCCTCTGTGGGCAGAGAACAGGGACCATTAGAACCTTCTGTGATGGAAACTAGAATCAGCTGACAGCAAGCTGCTTTTTTTAAGCAAAGCAAGCACTGACCCAGCCCCCCCACACGGGAGCACAGGTGATTTGTGTTGCTGGTAAAACCTCCAGATTGATGCTTATACTCTGATCAACCTCAACTGAGAGTAATTCAGTTACCTTGCTTCTGGTATTGGTGTTTTCCTTTCCTTCAATGAACAGAGAGATTTCAAGCTGCATAACTCAACATGCTCGTGAGGGTTAAATAATTACCACGACTTTTCTTGACAGATGCAGAGGATCCTTACCTGGATGTGAGATACATGCTTTTGAGGGATGGGGAGCCACCTCCCCAGCTAGACACCTGGAGAACATGGCTCAAAGCTGGTGTCCACAGAAGGCAGTGGAAAACATCGTTAACTTGAATAAGTAGAAAGCAGTGAAGAGGCAAAGGAGTCAAGAAGGATGAACTACTGCATGCACGTGACAGAGGTGTTGGAGATAAAAGGCTGCTCTTCAGACCTTCTCTGCAGCCAGAAGGCAGAGACAGCAGCTCCCACAGGAGCCACTTTAGTTCTTCTAAGTCTGGTTCCTGCTCTGAATTTCCCTCTGAAGAAGCTCATTACTTTCCACTGGAAAGACAGAGGGGTGCAGGAAGATTGACCTTCTAAATTAGGGACCTAAAATTAGGTCATATGAATGCCCTCTGTCATGTCCTCTGTTTGCACCCACTCATTTGGGGCAGGAATAGCTCTGCCCCTGCCTGGCCTGTGTATACACTGCTGAAAACTCCCCTTTAAACTTCTCCCTTGGCCTTAACCACCAGACTCGCTGCCCTCTTAATCCTCCTAATTTGAGGCACATCTTGGGGAAGAGAAAAAAAAAAAAAAAAAAAAAAAAAAAAAGGAGGAAAGAAAAAAAAAGGAGACACTTGAGAATACGCAGATGACACTGTTTACATCTTGCTGAGAGGAGGAATGTTTGCAGAGTCTGTCCTGACCTGGGCATTCACTGCAGGACAGTTTTATGAATTTATCGCACCTCTGGGAGCTTGTTCCTTGCTCCAGGGGAGCTGACCTTGTGCTACAGTGACCTCGGCAAAGTCTCTGGGACAAGACACATCCCGCCTCCCAGAAGAGATGGGCAGTGATGAGAAAAGCTCAGCCGCCGTTGTATTGAGCAATGACAAGTCTTAGAGAAAATTACTGAAAGGGGAGGAATTGGCATCTGATCTGGACAGTGTAGAGAATTTTTCTAATGCATAATGCATAAAAATAGTTTTGGGTAATCCACACACAACATGTATATATACAGAGAGAGAAAGCTATTTTTGTATATGAATACACATCAAAAATTTATAGTGAAAATATTTGCTACGCAATGAAAATTAAAATAAAATTAAATCAAAAGCCTCCCCCAGAAAAAAAAAAAAAAAAAAGCCAACAAAACAGTTTTTCAAAAATTGGAAAGTTTTTTAGCTAAGACTAAGAATTTTTAGCTAAGACTTCAGAAATGCAAAGGTCAGATTTCCCTTCATCCCCTCAAAAACCCTTTTGATCTGTATTTTACCTTCTGAAGTATGGATGAATAAATATGTTGTAGCAAGATGGGAGCAACATGACAAGAAAGAATGACACCATCAAAATTATTCTTAGGTCATAAAGACAGGAATTGAGATTTACCTGTTCTCAAAATCCTTGTAAGATTCTCCCAGCTCTGACATTTGTCAGTAAGTGGCACTTGGGTCCTTCGGGAACATTGCCTGTGTCAGAGGTGCTTAATGATAATTTACATTGATTTTTAGGGTTTTTTACATTGATTCTTCATTTAATTTTGCTTCATAACTCAGTAATAAATGAGCTGTACTAGAATATGCCTTCAAGGGTAGCTGTACTATTAAGCATTTGTGCATCTGTTGCCCCAACTATTTTTTTTGAAGAAGCATATGACCATAAACACATGCGCCAAGTGTGCTGCATTCCATTTTTAAAATTGCACAACAAAAATAACGATAAGAAGGCCAATTTTATCAATGCTCAACTCGTGCTTTCTCTGCTGACTTCAGAGGAATCAAACTGAGATCATACAGTTTGGGTCTCCAATGGACCCGTCATCCTTCAGCTGGGTCCAGATTGCAAAATGTTCCTGGTGCTGGAAAGCATTTCCTCACCAGAGAAGTCTTTTTTCCCTTCTGTGAGTAGGACATGTGAGGAGCTGCTTGCTGATATAAGGAAGAAAGTAATAATCTGGCCTTAAACCAAGTATTGCTGGAGAAAGAACCATCAGCACTGAGCATGTGAGGATCCATGGAAGTCAGGAAACGAAATTTTGCCTTCAGTTATACCCATGAAAACACAGACAAGCCCCTGGGATACAACTGAGTTGGATGGCTCTATGTTAGGACAAATACATAGCTTAAAATTCAGATTCTGTTAGATAGTAACATGTCCTTTTCAGCTTGGTTGAACGTGAACAGAAATCTTTACAATTTAAAGAAAAGGAAAACCCTAAGCCAGTATGCACATGATAACTATGATGATAAATTTTAATTACAAAATCCTGTCACCAACTAATAATGAGTTCCAAATGAGAACTAGCTCAGAGAACAGCAAAGGCACAACCGCTATCGCGTGCATCAGAAGACTGTTTCGATGTGGCTTTCAAACCTACCCAGTATTTGGGGAATGTCTGGGTTTTTCCTGGACTGATCACTGCTAGGAAAGGCAGAGGAAAGCCAGGATCCCTGCCAGCACAGTCGCCTGCCTGTGAAATCAGCCAGAAACTGTATAGACCATTTACTTCAGCCCTGCCTGACACAAGGCAATAACCTGCTCAGAGCTTCATTTAACATCTTGTGCCTCTCTAGAGGGGTTGCTACCTGGAGCTCAGCACCGCACGGAGATGGGCTTGAGGGCTGCTAGGATGGATCTGGTCAGAGTCCACCTGGCTCACAACAACTGGGACAATCTCTCAACTCTTCTCGCCACCCTGGAGAGAGATGCTCAGAGACGTGTATTGGTTATAGACACTCATCACTGTGGTGTACAACAGAACAGTTTCTAAGCCGTGTCACAGTGTCTCTGAAATTTGTCCAGGAGCGATGCAAGTGATGACACTCCCCAAGAAGAGACCATAACTCATCCTGACCTCACGTGGGTCCCAGGCTGAGTTGAAGACCCATGGTTGTGGCCAGACTCCTCACTAGCTATGTCCCAGATATTCACTGGCAGAAAAATCTGAAGTTTAAACCATTTTTGTGAGTTATATAGAAACATCATGTAGATTGGGAATTACAGCCTACCTAAGGCTGATAAGAGTATCCCAGTGGCTTCACCAGCTTTGGGGTCAACCAAGATCGCAACTGAAATGCATACAGTTTTTTGTTACCTACTGTCTCTGTATGCAAGTCATTACCTAACCAGGGCAGAAATGAAGATGCCAAGTTTTAAAGTCATAAGAAATGACAGTGAGGATGGTCTCAGTGAGGAAGCTGATGAGGAATTACTTCTAGCTTCCATTCAGAGCTGGGGCACTGCACGATACCTAACCACTGCAGAGGTCTTTGTCGCTTTTCCTTTCAGTTATGCTACTGGCTACATCTCTTCTAGATGCACACTGTATAGGAGAATTATCTTACAATACATTCCAGAATGGCCTTTGCTTTTATTTAACCAGAAATCCAAGGCAGTCTTGATGAACATAATTTGCAGCTAACAAATCTCCAATGTACATGTGCTGGGCTAGAATGTAAAGAGGTCATAAATGCAAGTTTTGGGCACGTGCATGCAGTCAAAGTTGGTGGCCAAAGCCAGCATTGCGAAACCTGTGCATACAAATGTTGGGCCAGATGGGGGCTAGCACCAGAGCCCTGGCCACGTGCAGGTCAGCAACTTTCTACATCAGCTTTTAGCAAATAGAGGGGGAGTTTTTGAGATATAAAACATAGCTTTGATTTAGTGTTCCCAAATCCTGTAGTAACAATGACAAAGAGGCCAGCCAGAAAGGCCAGAGCTCCTCACAAGCTCACGTGCAGCTTGAGGGAAGGTCAAGCACTGTCAGAATATCTCTGATGGCTTTTTCATGGTTTGAATTGGGTCAGACTGCAGCGGAGCTGGGAAAGGTGTTTCGCCAACCTTCTGCCAAAGTCCCAAGGATCAGCGTGGTGTCTGAGTGCTGAGACAGGAAAAGGAGCACCACTGTTAGAGAAAGCGTGCACCAACACTTGACTAAAGAATTAGTGCAATATTTCAATAGTGGTTCATATTTTAAGCAAAATGACAACTCTGACAAGAGCGCGAGGAAATGGGAATTAACAACACATAAAAATGAAGTGAGAATATGGCTTATAATGCCAGCCAAGGTAAAGGAAACAAGTTTGTACCGAATGGGAAATTTCTGCAGTTACAACACATATTTTATAAAGAAAAGACAGGATTAGCATTGATTTCTGTACAGTTCTTTTTGCCATTCTTTATATTTAAGACAGACAATTTTTTATACTCCTCCTCCACTCCCATAATGGATTCTATTCTTTATTTTGAATTAGTCTCAAACTATTTGGCAAATTATGGACTACATAAAGGTAGAAAATGCAAAATATATATATCTAGGAAAATCTCAAAATGATAGCAGCTTCCTGAAGCAGAAACTTAGCACCGGAAGTGCTCCACATCATTAATCAACCCAAAAGTTTGATGAAAAAATATTCCAAAGAAGGAGACAGTTGTTTTCAAGAAATCATGACCTTATTTGAAAATACTCTAATTTTCACTTTTAAAGTTGCTCAGAATGAAAGAAACTGTCCTGAGTCCATTAAAATAAATATTGCACCTCTGCTTGTTCATGTTTGTAGAGGGCAAAACTGCCATTAGATTTAGTAGGGGAAATAATACTGTTGAATCTTGCACAATGGGAAAGATAAAGCTTAAAACAATCTAGTATATTTTTAAAAATAACTAAAATGAGGTTATGTCTTTATTCTAACAATTTTAAAAATATTTCTGAAACTACAGAGTACCTATGTAAACTGTTATTTTGAGTTATCTATGGGAACTGAACTCAGTTGGTTAGCAATGTATTTCCATGCCTGGACTTTTCAGGTCTTTTTTTTGAAGTTATTTTTACAAACTGTAGAAGAGGACACTTACCCAAGACAAACAAGCTAATTTCAAAACAGCTAGTTCCTGAGGGAACCGGTTACTCATTAACAATTGGACAAATAACACAATACTGATCTAGATAAACTTCAGAAAAAACTCAACCTGTCAGTTCCACTGCATGAAACAACAGAGAGCCCCAAACAGGTTTTGGTAGTTAATTTGCAAGATTATATTGAATTTTGAGGAAATTTACTCCAGAAAGTAAAAAATATCTCATCTCGTTGTTCAGCAGCAAGTGACAAAGAGAAATATCTGTGTTAAATAACTTTTCTGGAGTAGGATGGCAGACGGAAACCTTTCTGCAAGAATAAGAAATAACATCCAGTCTACATGGAGCTGGCAAAAAAAAATTAAAAATGAAAAACCTTAATTTGGGGGCAGACAGATGTTTTCTTGAAGTTAACTTCAAAGTAAAATTTCTTTGGGCCTTTTAACTTTACTTCTTCCCTGACGTCCCTCCATATTCCACAGTAATAAGTCTAATCATTTTATATCATAGATGATAGCCCTACTGAAACTGATTTCTCTTGATAAGACAGCTAATGAGCAAATGTGAGACCCTGAAAATCCCATCTTAATTTCACTAAGCTTCTTAACAAATTAAAAGTAAAGCTGCCAAAACTCTCCAAAGGCATTGCTAATGTTGGAATCTCATTCGGTTACATGATTGGTTTCATGCTACATGACTAAAATGTCCTTTATTTTTTCACACAGTGAACAGTTAATTTCACAGAATAGTGTTTGCTTTAGGTCAGAGTACTTTTGCCTGCTCAAAACCTAAATATCATGCAATACGCTTTATTTCTGTGAACAAAGCGGAAGTCTTTGAATATAAATACTCACGCCTCGCAGCCAAGTTCTTTGTGTGCTGTAAAGGCTTTTAGACCATCTTGGTAGCCAGAAAAAAAAAAAAAAATAAGGCAAGTAATGATTTGGATATTGCTTCTCAATCTAAGTACTTAGGAACAAATTAAATTGGACACATGGTGTATTGTCTGAGTAACAGATAAATGTCATTTGAGACGGCATTTTTTTCCAGGGATTAAATATAAACCTAAGTCATATACGGGAATGAAACACATATTTTAAGGAAGAAATATTGGTACTAACCCCTCTCATAAGTCATACAGGGGGACAAATCTATGGCTTGCCATGAAGAGCTCTACCAGCATTTCCAATACCTTGTGGGCTCTTCAGGACATGACGCTCAGCCCGCCAACGAAAAGAACAACTCAAAATAGGACCGGCACATGAAGGGGTCCCATTTCAGCCCAAACATAACTGCAGATGCAACACAAGTGGACCGGTCACCTGCTTAAATATTATTCCTTTCACCCTTTGCCCCACACCTCCTACTTGCCTTTCCTAGGTGTTCAGCTTTACAACAAAGGTCTGTAACAAAGGTAGTAGAAGCAAACAGAAATCTCACCGGTGTTATTTGGGAGCACCCGCAGGTTGTCAAATTCCAGCATGGTATAAGAGGAGTCCAAGGAGTCGACATAATCTGGCATATCCATGTCCATGATGGACTGACAAAGCTTCATTATTACTTGTCAACAGCAAGGGAAGCAGCAAAAAACAGCCCTGCTGTCAATCACGGCCAAGGTTTCCTCTGCAAAGAGAGACACCCCAGCCCTTGCAATGACAAATCATTACCCAGCTCTGCCTGCAGTCCCCTCCCCAGGCCAGGAGAGAAGGTATGGAGCCGTTCCCTCTTTCGCGTGCAATCCCCTCCCTTCCCGGGGTGCATCTGTGCTCTGTCGGTCCTGATAATATGATGTAGATAAGGCCTAGACTCAAACGACTTGGATTGCATCTTCGGGTCAATACAGCCAGGTTTATGGCTGTTCCTGAGCAAACATTTTGAAAAGGGCTGCGGAGAGGCGTTGATGCACATGCGCTGCTTTTCCAGGGCAAAGCAGTGGTCATGTCAAATAATACCCATGCCAATGTCACCTTGCTCAGCTACCAGCCCTTGGGAAAAGACTAAATGATGTCACTTGAAGCTGGTGAAGATGAGTCAGTGAAGACACGAGTCAGTGTCACCACTGGCTGAAGACTGTCAAGATAGGTTGGCATAGACAACCTGAGGCATTGCCACGAGGCGCCAACAGTACTGCAGCCGGGTCATACCTTGAGTTACTATGGGGAGGAAAAAAATGAGGCTTCATTACAGCCATCCGCATGGTTTCACCCTGCCCCATAGGCAGAGGGGAGGTGACTTCTACCACCCACCATCCCAGTCACCTGCACTTCCCCCTCCTGACTCCAGACAGCCCCAGTGTGCCAGAGCTCCCACTGAGACAGAGCTCGGTTGTGGTTGTGAGTTGTTAGAGCAGAAGGTTTCAAGCGTTGGCAAGTGATGAAAATAGAAAAGGCTGGAAGAAACCAGGCAGAATCCCTTGCAGATGTGTGGTGTTGCATTTCACCCTGACCCATGACTGGTTTTTCTGGGAAAGGCCCATATTATGGAAATACAATTCCAGGTTTTCCCCACAGGACTGTGGGTTTTTTTTTGATTTACTGAATTTTGCACAGAAGTTCTTTCCTCGTTAAGACTCTTGAGCAGTACTGCAAAAGACTGGAAATAAAACACAGCCATGTGAAGTGGTAAAGCTTGAAGTGCTTGGTCTATTCCTGGTTTCATCTTCCAGATGCCTTCCCTGACATTACAGTTCCCTCTCCAGTGACGTTGTTTTGTGTCAGAGGGCCTTTCCTTTCCATGAGCTGTTCCGTGAGATCCAGTTCAACATCCTGTTGAATCTGGAGGAAAAGAAGAGTCTTGAGAAACAGGGGGACATGTTGCCAGAAAAGGAGCCTTGGCCAACAGAAGAGGATTGCCAGACTGCCTGAACTCTCACTGAACCAAGGAGCAGGGTGGCCCCATGTATCCTAGCAATCTCCAAATAGCAAGAAATATGCCAAAACTGAGTTTTGAAATGTCTTAGATATACTCATTTTGATTTAATCCCCATTTTACTCTTTTTTTTTTTTTTTTTTAGTGGATTTTTCCATATCCTGGGGACTTAGAGTGGACATTGAAATGGGTTAACTCTAGATATGCTTTTCCTCTATAAAGATTGGGTGCAGGAACACTTAGCTTTATTCTCTTATCATTTCTGGGGCATAAAATAATTTAATGTGTCATAGATATTTTTTTCCCCCTTCTTTCCTTTTTTAAGAACATGTTGTAACTAGTGGTGCACAAATGACTCCTTGGTTAGATAAGACATTATGTTTTTATCCTTGGACTATGCCCCCAGGCTTTCAGTAATGCCAGCATCAGCTAAGTTAGCATCTGATTAGTCATTCTTGCCTCTTACTCAATGTCAGTCTTGATTATGCATATTAATCTGGCACATTTTTTTGAACTGAGCTATGGGCACAATCCTGCATCATTCTCAGTATTCTGCTACTATCACAGCTAAGAGTTCTCGCATTTCTGCAATTCCAGGGGATTTTGTATGGTTTTCTCACCATTAAAATAGCCATATTAGTATTCACCATACTTTTGGGCAGTTGTGGCCAACAGAGAAGATACCTGGGCTCCTGCGCTGATACTGTTGGCTTTAGAGATCCTTCGATGTTCTCGATCTCTCGGTCCGAAGTTAAGGCTTATTTCCAAAGAAAGCTGGGCAGCGAGGATGTTCTTGAACAATTTTCATTCTGGGTGTGAGAAAAGGGTATTGGGAATGAGGAAATGTTACAGAGCATATTTGATAGTTCAGGACTAGATTTCAACATCACATCCATATTGATAATCAGGCCTGACTTGTTATGGAAGGTGGTGTTGGAGTGATAGTATATGGCATTTCTATCTATATCAAACAGATGCCTGCACCATGTTCCAAACCAGTTCAGCACAAAAACATCCCTGAAAAGTATCAAAACTTTGCTGAGGGTTGAACAGTTTCTTCTTTTTCCTTGCCTTGCTTTCTTACATCACCTTCTGAGTCACAGCTGCAATTCAGCTGTGATCTATTCAAGGCTGGAGTTTTATTAACATCAGGAGAAATCTAGCTCGCTTTGAGGTGCCCTCACATCTGCTCAGCACTTTTCATTATCACAATGAAGTAGACAGCTGTCCCAGCCAAGAACCAGAAATCTCTAGCTTGTTTCTTCATTACCTTACAATGATTTAACCTGACAAAGCAGACCAAAGGAGAATCTGGGGAGAGATCTCTCTCCAGTTGACCTCAAACAAGTGTTAAATATAAAAATCTGCTCTTGGAAAGCTCCCTTTGATGTGGGAAACAGGCTGGTGGCATGTGGGAGGGGGCTGATGTTTGGCTGTCAGTTCTTTGGAATCACCCTAAATGACAGCAAACCTGCAGTCCCTTTGCTCTTCTTGCCAGCATCCCCCCGGCTGTCCACGGGACATGCATCAGTCTCGGTTGGTCTCTGGTGGAAACACGACAAGCACACAAGAGGCACTTTGAGGACAGGAGGAGTCAAATTCTTCACGGAGTGTGGCAACAGTAAGAAAAAACTTGAAGGTTGAGATTTGTGGGGTTGACCAACAGCTCTCTGCCGAGACACTCTTCCCAGGATTTGAGCTCCACATGGGGCACAGACATGGCAGCTCTCGAGGAGCTACTTCAGCTCCATCTGTGTGCGTCTGCAGGCTGTCTGCAGATGATCCGGCCCTCGCTGTAATGTGTCAGTGCTGAGAAGAGCCAGCCAGCTCAAACATGGGCTACTACATAAAATGCATGAGGCTCTGGGAGAAATTCCTGGCTTCTGTGGTGAGAGGAGACCTGATGGGGCCAAAGCCAGGCTCTGATCTTACTTTACCACCCATTTCTAACCTTCACTCAGTGCAGAGGAAAGATGGGGCTGCTCAGGTCCTTGTATAAGGCACGTGCTGACCACAGGTAAAGGTAACTCCAACATGATTCAGAGATATTAACTCCAATGAGTAGATCTATGGGTTTGAAGAGCATTCACCAGAACAGACCAGGAAAGAAAAAAACCCATCTGCCTGTCCCTGTACCATACTGCATCCTTTTCTCACCCAGAGGAGGAGGAGGAGCACATGTGGGGAGCCTGTGCTCAGCACAGATGCCCATGCTGCTGCTGGGGCTGCAAGGGGGGAGCAGCCAACCAGCTGTGGGCCACATGAGAAACCCCACAGCAAATATTCCCCCTTGGGGTTGCTACATCCCACATGACAGTCTCAGCAATCAGCCTTACAAGAGGAGAACTTCCATGTAAAAGCACTCCCTCTGGGCTGCAGAACTGGCATTTGCATCATAGATGAGTTGACCACAATGCATTGCATACAGAGATAACTGCTTTTTTTTTTTTTTTTTTTTTTTGAAAAACACCTTGCTGGTTTTCCAGTGAGGGGACAGGACTGGGGGTGTCTGTTCTTTCCATGGGTGGTCTGGCACTGATTCACCTGCACAGGCATCTTATGCGTATGGATAACTAGAGGCATAACTGAATTGTATAACACAATCTTCCCAGTCTGAAAATTGACTTCAATCCTTCTCCATATGGACATAAGCCTCTTTTTAATATGTTTTCCATCTATTCTTTTTCTGACTCAGTGAAGCTGGATATAGCTGCACGCTGCAGGGGAAAGGGGAGAAGGAAGAATAAAACAGAGTTATGTTTAATGAAAATAGTACGAATATTCAAAGATAGTACTTTGGGAATGAATCAATATGGTTTCTCATACGTACTGCAGAGAGGGCAAGCTCTGATGAACACATGGTCCCAATATGAGAACATGCTTATTCCTAGAAATAAAATTTGGATGCTTTGGGGAATGCTTGTTAGACAAGATGAAGTGCAGAAGAGACAAGAACTCTTTAATCAATTAAGAGGGAAAATCAAGTACCATGAACAAGCCATCAGGAACAACATTTCTTTGTCAAGGTAAGTGGTGGGAGAAGGTGTTTGTAGGCTATGGCAGCTGCACATCCATCTCTGGAGGCTGGATTTTAAAGTCATACTATGCTGCACATGGGGAGAGGTCACTGAGACACTAAAACCTAATGAAAGACTTGTTGTTACGCCAAATGATGAGGCAGACTTAAGCCACTAATTGTATTTTTGGCACAGAAGTTTTCTTCTTTTATTCTTAGAAGTATGCTTAAAAGCCCTACCACTGCTTTGAAGATTCTCTCCATCTGAAATGTAGCAAGAATTACACTCTTTCCTGAATTTGCATGTATTAGTGAGCATAAATCCACCAATATTCAGGTGGCTCTCAGGTACCAGAAGCAACAGTAGCCATAAAATTACCTACCTGGAGGGAGAGTGTCTGGATAAAAAGAATAACTGAAAGACAGAAGCCAGTAAGGCCTTTTTTCTGGGTAATGTATAATTAGAAACAGAATGCTTCTGAGATTATAAGCAGTGTGAAATCATATCATTAGCATATAATTACAATGGCAAACATGACAAATTTATCTAGACCAGATGTCTATTAAATCAGATCCTTACTTTTATGGGTGCTGTTTCTTATGGTATATATCACTGAATGATATTTGCTATATTGTGAGTTAGCAGCAAAATCTCTCTTTACATTTTCAAGTATTTCTTATTACAATGAACAAT